TGGCTTTGCAATCAAGCAAAGAGATCTGGTTGCCCCATTTTAAAGAGCTAGAAAAACTGAAGGAATAATGATCAAACCTACCAGGGGGCCTGGGGCACCTTCAGGGCTTCAAATCCTCCACTCAGCTGTAATTTCACAGGGTGTAACCTTGGGGGGGGGGCCATCACTGCCTGTCAGCCTGACCTACCTCTCAGGGTTGTGCAGCTAGAATGGTTGTGTGGGGAGAAGAACCACATACACCACCTTGAGCTTCCTGAAGAACAGACGTGGGATTTACATGCAAGCAGAAGGAATGAAAAAAATCCCTTTTCCAGAGCAGGGATAAAAACTCTTCCACAAATGGCATTCTTCCCTTGTCCACCCCCCCCCATGTACGTGCTTGGATTTAGCCATCCAGGTGTTTCATGTACTTGATAGTATTTACTTGTGAGTAGAAGGCAGGCACCAGAGCAGTCCCCCCCCCCCCACTGAAGAGATCTCAGTCTCCATCCCTTACCCCACAATAAATAAGGCAAACTTTCCACTTTCCATAGGCTGCTCCATAACCAAATCCCTCGTGCATGTAAGGTGCCTCAAAGCAAACTCTACTTGAGAGCGAGCGGAGGGGGAGAAGCCATCTGGGACAGGATTGGAAGGCAGAAAGCAGCAGCAGGAGGAGCACCCCATACCAATTGTTAAGTCACCCAAGGGTGCCAAAGTACCCAGGTTGAAATCCTCTGCCCTAGGACATTCAGAAACCCACCAGAACCCAGTAGTCTCTAGGGGTAGACAATCTTCACCTGTCCACCCCACCCCACAATTCAGGGAAGGATTAGAGCTGTAAATCCAGACTGCATTTAGGTTTAGTGGTGTTTACTAGCTTGTAAGTGTGCTTGAGACTTAAGCTTACAGAATGTTTGCATAGTACTCTGATACTGTTACCACATAAATATATCTGTTTTTCTTAAAATATGGACTTTGAAACTCTTTCAATAAAACACAAAGCATTTTGAAGGCATGCTCAATTGCCATGATCATCAGACACACTGCTTCTGCCATCTACCTTTCAATCATTAATCAGTTGTTCATACGTGTGCAAAACATCTAGTTGTGTACTGCTGTGCAAAAATGCTGGTTTCTGAATACCTCTTCTTAGGATCTAAGATAAGAAGCTTGACTTTTTTACATGTTGAGTCACTTTTCCAGCTTTATTCATATACATTATTTATAAGCAGAGCTGTGGAAACAACACATCTACAGTGGCGCCTATATTTAGGTTAACACCCTTTTTCAAAAGGCTCTCTGGAGACTGTTTCTTTTGAAAAACTCTACTTTCTTTTTTTCCTGTTCTTTTTCATATCTGCTCTTTGATATGAAACACTGAAAGTCCCTAGCTGCTATTGCACAAATACCAAGGGAACTATCAGATAATTTCTAGAAGCATGCAGCATTTTTAGAGAGCTGATTATACATATCACAATATTTTCCTTGCTGTGTTAGATAGGGCAGTCTCACCTTGAATATGAGTGAATGACGCACATAGTAAGAGGGAATAAAATTGGCAATATTAACAGAATTGTTGTGAAGATGTGTGAATTAAGAAAATTAGCTTATTATTATTCTGGAACTTTAGAAATGAGACTTCTCAAACCAAACATAATTTTTAAAGGAATACTAATGCAAAACAGCTAACTCTTGGGACTTCCCTTTGGTAGCATTAGTATAGTGTTTTTTATCTGACTAAATCTCTATTGAACCTCCCAAGGCTGACTACAAGTTGAGGGGGCCCTGAGCAAAGTGTCCTTTAGTGGTCTCCAATTGGTAAGTGCTAGCGGGTGGCACTGTGGGTAAAAGCCTCAGTGCCTAGGACTTGCCGATCGAAAGGTCGGCGGTTCGAATCCCCGCGGCGGGGTGTGCTCCCGTTGCTCGGTCCCAGCGCCTGCCAACCTAGCAGTTCAAAAGCACCCCCGGGTGCAAGTAGATAAATAGGGACCGCTTACTGGCGGGAAGGTAAACGGCGTTCCGTGTGCTGCGCTGGCTCGCCAGATGCAGCTTGTCACACTGGCCACGTGACCCGGAAGTGTCTCCGGACAGCGCTGGCCCCCGGCCTCTTAAGTGAGAGGGGCACACAACCCTAGAGTCTGTCAAGACTGGCCCGTACGGGCAGGGGTACCTTTACCTTTTACCTAGCACACTACCCTGGCAGTATTGGTGGGCAGCAGTAATTCTCCCAAGCAGCATTAGGTGACTGCGGGACTGCCACTTTAATTTTCTGCAATGCCATAGAATGATGCTGTGATGGGTCATTGTGAAAACTGAGAATGGCAGCTAGACCCAGCTGCCTAGTGTTTAGAGCACTGTGGCAGAGTTTAAAAGGGTCAGGCAGGTATTAGTGGTGGGCCCTGCCAGGTTGTTGAGCTGATAACACTGACCCTGAGCAGGGGATTGGACTAGATGGCAATCACATTTTTTGATTCCACTACTCTATAATAGATATCTTTTGATTGTCTTTGAAAAGCTGTCCCCCCCCTAAAATTCATATAGATCCAGAATTTATCTCATTCTTTGTGCTATCACCTGATCATAACTTTCTCTTAAGCTGTTTCCCTTTCTTCTGTGAGATGTCAGCTTAACTAAGATTGCCATCTGCTGAAATTTACACCCATTTAATAAGCTATACTGGAGGTACAGTTGCCAATGGAGATATGTTGTGTGGATGCCAAACCACAGTTAGTCACTGGTATGAAATTTTGCCCAGGTTGTTCAGTTCAAACCATGCCAGAATTTCTTCTGGGTGAATCTGCCTAAACTTTGTGGATGTACTTTATACAAGCTGCAAAAATTGCATCCTATTTGTGAATCTGATGTTTAGATCACAGGTGGGAACCAGGCCCAGGAGCCAGATGTGGTCCAGCAGTCCTCTTTTATTTGGCCCTCAGAACTGCCCCCGAGCCATACACCCTCTCCCTTGGCAACAGTCCTCACTGGCTCTGCTTTGCAGCCCAAGTGTTTTTTGCCTGTCTGGAATGTGTGCTTGAACATTGATAGTGTCTCTTGCTTGTCTGGATAATGGAGAGAGAAGTGTGTGTGTGTGTGTTGGAAGTAGCCTCCTGTACAAAGATAAAATTTATTGTTCCTCTGCCTACTTTTGCTTCTGAACCTGTTCTCACTGAACTATGATGCTTGCCTTCAAATGCTCCAGTTTAGATAACATGTTCAGTGTGTTAGTACCAGCATTTAAAGCCCTAAATGGCTTTAGACTCAAGTACTCACAATAGCCTCTTTCCTTTTTTAAAAAATAAATAAATACCAGTTTTAGTAAAATATCAGTTTAGACCTATGGCAAAAGTCATTTGTCCCCTGGCAGTCTGTTGTGGAGGGAGAGGGTTGTTAAAGAAGTGGCAGAAAGGTGGTAATCTGCACATTTTTTACTTTTGCTCATCATCTGCATGTAGCCCTCAATGGATTACCCCAGGCGACTGTGCTCCTTAACAGAAAAAAATGTTCTCTACTCCTAATGTAAAATAATATATTTCTACCATGAAGGCCACAAACATGAATAGTTTTATAATCGTATTAGTTATATATTCTAAGCATGTGATATTACCTGTTGCCAGTTGCTAAGTTAACTTCACTGCAGAATCTGCTTGTTTGCAAGATAGAGGGGAGAATCACATTCACTATACTATAATGTTCACTGAAAGGGACGCAGGGTGGCGCTGTGGGTAAAACCTCAGCGCCTAGGACTTGCCGATCGCATGGTCGGTGGTTTGAATCCCCGCGGCGGGGTGCGTTCCCGTTGTTCGGTCCCAGCGCCTGCCAACCTAGCAGTTTGAAAGCACCCCCGGGTGCAAGTAGATAAATAGGGACCGCTTACTAGCGGGAAGGTAAACGGCGTTCCGTGTGCTGCGCTGGCTCGCCAGATGCAGCTTGTCACGCTGGCTACGTGACCCGGAAGTGTCTGCGGACAGCGCTGGCTCCCGGCCTATAGAGTGAGATGAGCGCACAACCCTAGAGTCTGTCAAGACTGGCCCATACGGGCAGGGGTACCTTTACCTTTACCTTTAATGTTCACTGAATTGAAATCACATCTAATTCATATATTGTATCCTTATACATATGTATTCATACTTGTACCTGACTTTGCATAGTTTCTCCTCTATTTCTGATTCAAGTCTTCTGGCCAAAACAGCAGCACCTATTTATAAGAGAGAAGGTATTAGGCGACTTGGGGTAACTTTGAGGTTTGCAGGAGTGCAAAACATCTTTAGTAAAAAAATAAAAAAATGACAAGGCAACCCCAAATTGAGGTGTAATCCCCTCCCCCAAGAAAACAGTCCAGTGAGCATCCCCAGTAATCTTGGAATGCTCGCTGACTGGTGGTGTAAGGGGAAGAAAACCATGGGAAGTACCGGTAGTTAGAATCCTGAACAACTCCACATTGCAACCTTTTGTTTTAGAGCCCCATCACTGATCCCCCCCCCCAATCCTGTTGCAGAGAAGCCATTTCTCCCAATAATATGTATAGATGTTTTCAGTAGGCAATCACCACATAAAGATGCTGTCACTTAATGGGTAAGGGTGGATATAAATGAACATACTTTCAAAATTGGTGGAAATAGACTCCTTGCATTTGTTCTTTATAAGCTTCATAATTAGGTTACAAAAGAGACTTGTCTGGTACCACAGATGAGATACCAAAGCTGCTTTACTTTCTAATGTCTAGGTAACTGTTAACTATACTTGCTGGGAGCGTTGTCAGTGGGCAAGTCTGGGAAACTTGTCAACAGGCAATGAGTCTTCTCCCTGACCTTGTGAAGTGCCTCTGGAATAATCAAATTTGTTACAGGTCTCCCACTTCTAAGTTATTTGGAAAACTGCCATCTATCCTCAGCATAATATCATCACTTTGATTGCCTCTTATGAAATACTCCCCAGACTTTTCAGTGTTTTCATTGAAGACAAGCACATTTTAATGCCGGGGAAAATATCAACCCTCTTTCTCTCATTTTGCTCTACAGACAAAACCTGTTGCATTTGCAGTCCGGACAAATGTTAGCTACAGTGCAGCCCACGAGGATGATGTACCAGTCCCAGGCATGGCCATCTCATTTGAAGCGAAAGATTTTCTTCATGTTAAAGAAGTAAGACAGCTTATATTGCAATTATAGCTGTGATTGCAGTAATATAAAGTATGCTGCTTTATTTACACTGGATGGAATCCAGCAAGACTTTACATATGATAGAAACTGTGTGCCACTCTTCCTTTCTCATTTTCATTTAAAAGTAATGTTTATACATCATGAACAAACATTTGGGTTCCCAGATTGCAACCGCTTTGCCTCATCTCTGCTCCTGCTGCTGCCGTACAGCCATGAGCTAAGCCATGGTTTGGCATAGCATCATGTCCAAACCTGGATTTGTGGTTTGTTTTACTCCAGACAAACCATGAACTGTAGCCAAGGGTTTTGTTTTGTTTTTTGCTACAGTTCATTGTTTGTCTGGAGATAAAACATAAGCCTAGGTTTGGACATAATGCTAACCAACTCCATAGTAGCAGCAGGAAGAGAGGAGGAGCAGAGTAGACATGATATTCTCTCCAGAAAACCACACATTTGCTCATTCACACTAAGCCATGGTTTGTACAAACTGGGTCAGTTTAAATGCTGCAATGCCTTTGCCCTTAGTAATCAGAAGATTCAGTGAATTGCTTTTGTCTCGTTTTTTTCTTTTTCAGACTGTAAGCTAAAGTGCTACATAAATGTTTCTGTGACACTTATAGTAGACTTCTAAGTCAATATACCTTTGGCGTCCATGCAGTTTACCGTGATAGCAGCAAATAAGAGATAATGTCTGCATAAAGTGATTGAAATGGCTAACTTGTAGATAGTAACACATCTGGATACTCTTTTAGACTAGCCAGATTTTTACTCAGGACAGTAATAGCCATTTAAAGCAGATATGTAATATTCTATTAAAGAGTATTTTGTGGTTTGAAAAAAATTAAAATGTTAGCAAAAGAAAGAGTATTTGGAAAGAGTATTTGTATTTGGCTGTGTAATGAAGAACAAGTATAACAAATTGGCATTTTCCCTTAACCTAGTCTGATAGCAAATAAGGAGTAACTCCTTCCTTCCTTCCTTCCTTTTTGAATGCAAATTGTGTCTGGTATGCACACCAGTCTTTTCTGAACCATGAATAAATCACAAATGGTTGTATCCCTTCTGAAGGACAATTATCTGCAGTTATAATGCTGTTGTTGAAATACTGCCACTCCTTCCTCTCTCTTCATATATTTTCCTCTCTTTTCTTTTCATTTCTTGCTTTGATATTTTCCCCCTCTTTATTGTTGTTATTGCTTTTTGTGCATTATATTCTTTGTTAATCCTACTCAGATACGATGCATTGAAAATATGGACATTACTATTTTCAGTCTATTAATTACTTATACAACCCTATATATTACTTCACCCCCAAAGGCACACTCTTCCATTGTCTCCTGAAACACACAGATGCCACCCAACCAGTCTATATATTTCTATGTAATTCATATGAAACAAACAAAAAGATACACTGTATTATATTGGAGTCATATTAAGGAAAGCATGATCCTGAGAAAATGTGGCACTATTTCCAACCGTTCTTTTTATTTCTCCAAACCTTTATTAGGTATTACAGATACAGACCATTTTAAAGTATTCATATACAAAAGAATTAAAATATATACAAAGAAGCAGCCATATAAGATATAGAGTGTCTTCCTGCTGCCATTCACCACTCTAAGAGATACAATTGATAGAATATTACCGCTAGGTTAATATCAGACAGGTAGAATCTGATATTTTCATTGTGCCCTGATGTTAAACTACCCAAAAAGGGGGATAACACACGTTTACGTAACTGGTTGTACACTGGACGGTAGAAAAGAGTATGTTCTACAGTGTCCAGCACATTCAAATAACATCCACAATGTCTATCATTTCAAGGGATATTTAAATACCTGCCTTTAACAAAAGCTCAGGGAGAAACATTGTCAGGCTAACGTAAATGCCCTATGTTGGGCTGGAATTATTAACTTTGAGATATAAGTAATCCTGTTATTGGTTGTATTTAAACCATAGAACTTGGGGGAGCAGATTTTATTTACAGCTGACTCAATGTCCCCCCCCCCCAATATTAATCTAATAATAATTAATCTAATCTAATTTGGATATTGTGATAAATATATTGCTCACTAGAATTATACAATAATTCCAAGACAATACCAATAGATCTAATTTCACTGTGTATGGGTTGGAGCCATCTGGATTTATAGGAGTCCTTAAGTAAATTGGAAAACAGATTTGAAGGTTGGGAACAAAAATGGCAATGCAGCCCATATTTTATAGTGCTAATCCACACCCAGTATTCTGTCATGTGTCTGCTTAATTCTGCACACATTGTCTCATACTTGATTGTATCCATACTGGGATCCCAAAATGTAGCTGGGTCAACACTTCAGCTTGAAAAAATCTGAATGGCAGCTCGTATAAATTGGTTACCTTTTCGAAAATAAAAGCGAGTTACTGCTGAGGAGGTACAGCTTGCTTGTTTATAGCACTTGAGCGATGGTCTTCCGAGATATCTATTGCTGGATTTCTTGTCCTCTTATTTTCCATTTCTCTTGTTTCCATGAATTAGAGAAGAGACCACCCATTTTCTCTTTTAAATTATTTACTCTTGCTTTATGGAAATTCAGTATAATGTGCTTTCTAACACATGGGTGCTTCACCTCATGTGTAGTTAATGCATGTCATCTGACCAAATATTTCAGGACTAAGTAAACATGGATTGCTTTGTGGATGGTGACATGATGGTTAATCGTTCAAAACTTGTAGTGCAGTCCTTATCGTGCAGCCAAACTTAAGTACTCTAGTCCCATTGCACATGCGTGATTTTCTCCCATCAAAGTTAATGAAACTCAAAAGCACTTAATTTTGGTTGGATAGAGCCCATGCTTTCTCCAACACCTAAAAGTCATTCTGTGTTAGCTTGAAATAGCATTGTCAGGGTGAAATACTTTTCTAAATTTCCTGATACGTCAGGAATGAGTCAGATACTACTTTTCCTGCCCATTCCTTCCTTAATCCTGTTGTCTGTCCCTCTTCTCACTCCACACCTGCTGTGTAGCGGATTTAGAATCCTTTTATTAAAGCAATTAGTAGTTGGCCGAGAGAGTAGATGAATAAACCAGTCTTGACTGTTTTGTCTTCTACTGCATGACGGGAATTTTAAGGTACAACATGACTCTTTGGATTACAGCCTGCTAATTCTAGCTTCAAGCTTTTACTTCTTTATTTCAGATATACATCTTTCCGTTCTGTATCCTTTCATCCACATTCATACTCATTTTGGTTAAGGGCTAAATTCTGATAAATCTAACAACCCTCAGACTCTCCATCTACATTCACACATGCTTGATGATATTTTATTTAGACATCTACTTCCTAGGCTTAAAAACACTATGTAGATACATTATATGCAATTACTAGCATGGTCAGTTACCAGCATGGTAAATGTGATATGTTAGGATGAGGGGAGAATTCTTTGGCATTAGCAAAAAGGAAAACTTCTGACATTTAAATTCATTTAATCTATTCTTTTCTCTAGAAATTTAACAACGACTGGTGGATAGGACGATTGGTAAAAGAAGGCTGTGAAATAGGATTCATACCAAGTCCAGTCAAATTAGAAAATATGAGGCTGCAGCATGAACAAAAGGCTAAACAAGGGAAATTTTACTCCAGGTAATCAATAACAATTACACAGAGACTGTGATTTAATCTATGGAAAGTTGTTAAAATTAAAAAGCCTGGATATATTTTTCTTCCTTGGTGGTGGTGAGGTGTAAAAATCCTGTTGTTCTCATTCTCCACTCTTATTTACCAGAGCCATTCCTTAAGTGAAGCTTTAATGCCAGGATTGAACTTTGAAGGGAAAGGCTATGAACATGCTTGCAGTTTACATGCTCCTTCTGTCTCTCGTAAAGGATAGATGAGAGGCCTTAGTTTTGTGCAAGGAGATTAAAGAAATACAGGAACTTGCTAATTCAGTCTCCCTGCACAAAACCAAGGCCTCTCTGCAGCTACAATCCTTGGAGTCAAGTCTTGTCTGAATTGGCTCCACATGTGTAGAACTAAGACTCCCTGAGCATGGTTCTCTTCCTCAATATTGTCATAAGCTGCTAACTGCTATTTTACTTCTTTCAGAGAGAGAATAAAATTTTCACTTTAGTTATATTTGTGAAAGTTGGTATTTTTATTGTTGTCATTTCACAATAATAGCCAGAAGTGGTGAAAAGAGAACTTTTAAATCACTGTAGTCTTTTCCTCCTAGAAATTGTTGACTATATATATATATATTTTAATTCCTTGATGACTGATGGTTGACTACAGATGTGTGGGGTTTTTTAATTGAAGCTACCATCACCACCCATGTTTTTTGTGGGTTTTATTTATTTATTTAATCTGTCAGTTTTTTGCCATGACAACTCAGAGCCACCAACAATATTTTAATATGATCTTCAAACTCTATGCAGTCAAAAAAATATTGTTTCTGTAGACCCTTACCAGGGTATATCAGGCCCTTTAATATTGAAGTAGTCATTTTAGGGAAGAGTTTAATGTTTAATTGCTTTTTATTATTATCATTATTAATATCTGTTGAGAGGTGCCCAGAGTGGCTGCGAAATAAATCATCATCATCATCATCATCATCTCTGTTTTGTAGAGACAGATTAAAGGCATCATGTCATTTGGCCTTCAGGACCAAGCTTTGGTCACTGTGGAAATTCCTAACAATTCCACTAATCTTACAGTTTTCACTGAACATCATCACATTTATACCTTGTGAGCATTATATTAGAAAAGTGAATGTTTATTTACTTTACTCTAGTAAATCAGGAGGAAATTCATCATCCAGTTTGGGTGACGTAGTACCTAGTTCCAGAAAGTCTACACCTCCATCATCTGGTAAGTGGGCCATTGCTCTTTTCACATTATAAATAATAATTAATATAATTATTGTCTTCCTGCACATTACACTTTTCGGTAGAAGTGAGAAATCAACCCTTTTTCATTTTTTAATTAACAGGTTCAGGGTACAGATGATTTTAGTAAGACTCATTCATGTAAAAATTGGTAATGAGGAGTAGAGCAGAACTTAAAGAGCATCACTCTGGGTAGTTCATGTATTTATGTTAGAGTGATAATGTAAGTTGTGAAGGCGATAGTCTCTTAGTCCAGTTATGTGGAATATGCCGTACATCTACCAGCAGTTTTGCCAGGCAAGTAAAATGGGTAGAGGCCTATAGCTGAGGCTATGGCTTTACATGGTTTACTGGAACCATGCCAGCAGCAGTCATGTTGGCCTTTGGGGGGAAGGGGGTTAATGTTCTTACATAGAGCATTATGTTCCTACACAGTTAAACAGTGGAATTTGCTACCAAAAGATGTGGTGATGGCCACCAACTTAGAGCAATTTAAAGGGGAATTAGAGAAATTCATGGATAAGGCTATCAGTGGCTGCTTGAAGGATAGCTGTATGTTATCTCTAAGGTAAGAGGCAGCATGCCTCTGAATAACAGTCACCAGAAACAACATCAAGGACCGGGTTATTGTTCTACTTGTGAACTTCCCATTGAGGCTGCTAGTCTGATCCAGCAGGACTCTTCTTAGATTATTAAACAAATATTTTTAGATCATCTCTAAGATCATGGAAAGAGGATTGGCAGCATCACATTTTGTTAGCCTCTAGACTGTTTATGTGGTAAAACATGTTTTGAAATATTAAAAAGATTGCTTTTGATACCTTGCTTCTAAAGCTTTCCTTGGTTGTCTTGAATGATAATCTCTTTGCCATATGAGCAGTGAGCTTGGTGCTTTCTGTTTGATGGGGCACCAGGAGGAATGCTGCAGAGCCTAGGGCCAAGAGGTAGGGGCCCTCCAGCAGTCATTGGCTGGGTGGGCCTGGAAACTGCCAGGCCATAGCTTTGGCTTGGCTAGAGAGTGTATGGATCCAGTTCCTCCAGCGATGGCCTTTCGGTGGGGTGGGCACCTTTGTTGGTGACATTCCAAAGTGACTGGGTGTGTTGTTTCAGTCACAGTATCAACACTTCCAGGCTGTCTCCAAGCATCTACTGAGTGCCTTCACCATAATCACTCATCATGGCCAGGCCCCGCAAACCACACTAGTTGGTCATTCTTCTTAAGTCTTGATATCTCCTTGGTAGGAAGCTTCCCTAACTCCAAAAAGGGAAGGGCCCATCAACGTCCTTTGCCATAGTTTAAGTTCAGCTGCTGCTGCTGCCATCTCCCACCCAGGTTAAACTTCTTTGGGGTTATTGGTTTGGGGGTTTGTTTGTTTTAGTATGTGATTTGTGTTCTCATTTTGTATTTTTATTTTGTGAAGCACCCTGTGATCTTTGTATGAATAGTGATATATAAATGTAATTAATAAATAATAGAGGAAGAAAGATTAAACATTTTTGTTGAGATCTATAAAATCTCTTAGAGGAATACTTTTTAAATTACATGACTTTTTAAATTGATAATAACAATATATCCAGATTTTATTTTTACAAAATTGATTGAGCATGTAAACTAGAAACATGTTTACAGCCTTTCACTTCCCTTTAATGTACAATCCTGGTATCAAATCATCACTTAAATAATGGCTAAGCAGTTGCTGAGTTCTGTTGCCAATGTTACTAATAGTAATAGTATTAGTAGTAATGAAACACCAGCGATGCATTAGGTAATCCACAATGAGAAGCATCATAGAAGTTTAAGCGTAGAGAACTTAAATATATTGCATATTTGTTGCATATTTTTGCTACACATATATGTTCCTTTGGGAGTTAAGACAGGGAGATGTTTGTACTGCTTTCATGTTCATCATACAACCCAGCTCCCTGTTGTAAAGACCCTTCTTTTAAAATTTCTGAATATATTAACAAAGTTGTTTCGAAGTGTATACAGTATACCAAAATTATTACAATTATTGCAGATATAAAATGATATATAATAATGTGTATTGCTTGGATTGGTGACCATAAATAAAAAGTATTTTGTATCAATAACAATTAGAATTTGGAGGAAGGGAAGGGAGAAGAGGGTAATTAAAATATGCACTTCATGAGCGCAAGACTGCTGCAAACTGTGGGTACTATTCTACCATATGCCTCATTATTTGTGTGATCACTAAAGTCACACCAGATTGCATAAAAAGTGTCATGTTTCTTTTGGCTTCTTGCTACTTTTATTTTTGTGGGTGCGTCAGTTTTTCCAATAATGCTGTTTGTTAGATTGGTGCGTAGTTAATAACTGTAATTATTTCTATGTCCTGGCAGTAGTTTTTCTTGCAGCAGTTAATAGGTGTTATGAGTTCTTTGTTTCAAATTTGCAACATATCATGACTATAAAAGTTAAGTAGAGCCAGTCGTAGGTTCATGGGGACTCTCTGCCTCGTAATCAAATATATTTCTGTACATTTACTTTCCTCAAACTTTTCTGTTTTTGCATACTCCCTCCACATGTGCTGATACGTGCCTATAGTGGGACATCTTCTCCAACACGTGGGAGAACTGTTCTCCCACTGTTTTATATATGCTAGATGGCTACGGGTTAAGTACCAGCCATGCACAATTTTAAGGGTTTTTTCTCTGGTTGTTGCCAGTATGGATTTGTATGGCACTTTTGGCCACAGCCTGTTCTGTGCATCTTCTTTAGTTTCTAAATCCCAATTCAGTTCTCACCACCTTCTGAAATTTTGCTGAAACAAAATTTAACCTCCTTGATAGATTTATACAAAGATGGTATTAACAGTTTTGCTATTATTTTTCCTTCCACTATTATTTTTTCATATGCCATTAATTGTCTTGTGGCTTCATGTTTAATCTGGGAACTTGTTAAAATGGACCTAAATTGGTAGCCTAATAGACATAATACTTGAACATTTTCCAATTGAATTTGCATCTCTTTAATGGTAATTGGTCATCTATATTTGTTAATTTCTCCAATCAATATAATTGTTAGAAAGCCCTTTCAATAAGACATTTGTGTGCTCCATAGTGTCCTATAATAGTCTTTCCCTCCTCCTCCTTCCTTTTGCCTTAAGATGTAAGGCTTTATATAATAGGAATGTATCCTCAGTTTATTGTTCAGTTTTTACTTAAACAAAGGCAGTTGGTGCCAATTCAGCTGGAGCCCTCAACAGCTATAGCATTTCCTAGATGACTATAGATAACTTTCATTTAAAAGACTTTTAAAACTTCAGCTATATAAAACAGGTTTGGTTTTCTGCCTGTTTCACATAATCAAACACTTATTTTTTTATAGCATTTAAAATTTTCTGTATGTGATACATTAAAAGTTTTCACAAGAGGTGAATGTTGATCTGTCAAATCATTATAGGGATTCACAACTTTTCATGAGAGGAATCAACAGGTTCCAATCCCAACAAGAAGTCAGACCCCCTGTGGTTAATTGCCCTTAACCACCACTGGCAATATGACCCACTCATTTGAATTCCATGACCCATTTGTAGGTTTTAGTCACTTGGGGGGGGGGAGATACTACAGGCCACAAATATGTGTGATATGCATTCTTTTTTGAGGTTAAGTAATCTATGCCACTTGGATTTGGGATTTGCCTAGGGCCCAACCTAGGTCACTAGTTTTGAGAGCTTGGGTATGGATTCAAAGTTGGTTCAGTCATTCTTGAAAGTGTAAATTCCAGTATAATGAAGGATACATTTGTATTGGTAAAGCTGGAAAAACTTAAAATTGAACAAAAATTAAATACAATTTATAATTGTATATAATTGTATCTGTATGCCTATATTTAATCCCTGAATATTGTACATTTTTAAATTCCCCCTTTTGTTTTTATTCTGTTAGATATTTCTGACAGACGTCTGACCTGGGATACTGTTGCTTACTATTTCTTTTTAACCCTTTTCTCCTCTCCCTGCCATCTGATAATTGTACATTGTTTATCTATATATAGCTATAGACATAGATGCCACTGGTTTAGATGCAGAAGAAATTGATATTCCAGCAAACCATCGCTCCCCCAAACCCAGTGCAAACAGTGTCACATCACCCCACTCCAAAGAGAAAAGAATGCCCTTCTTTAAGAAGGTAACGCCTACTTCCAAGCTGCCATCTGTACACCTGCTCACCTGCACTGCGTCACATTTTGAGTCCTGTTGACTGTCTGCGTCCTTTGACAAGCCAATAACATGCATGCTTTTGTTATTCTTTGTTTCTTTTCCATGCTGCTGTAGCTAAGCAGAAGCAGAAATCGGTAAGTTTACTTGACACGAGTTGTATTTATTCTGCCACTGGCATCATTAGCATCACCTACAGTTTATGTAGTGCAATCATTTCAGTACAAAGGAAGAAACTTATCAGACTGCTAGCTGTTCCAGTACAGTAGAAACAGGCAGACCAGGCCCTGTGAGTGACTTAGTCAAATGTTGCTTATGGTACTTTTCCTTTTTGATGGAATAATAGGCTGCCAGGGGAATTTCTTTAAACATCCACAGAAGTAAACAAAAATTGACAAGACCAGATAATGCACCGATCTAGTGCATGCTTATTCTTTGTCATTTTTCCAGATTTTTTACTTGTAATTCAGTCTTATAACTATAATTCATTTTTGTTAAATCTAAACAGATACTCATCTTGTTCTTTAAAAAGAACTTGCAATTTTTAATTTAGTCAGTATTTAAACTTCTAATCCACTAGGTGCAAAATCTGCAGATGAGCAAGACCAGTGGAAAACTGCAGGCTTGTTTTGGCGGTCTACTGTGAGTTTTTCCTATTGTCATATATAAATTCTTTCCCATTGTTCTTGCCTTCTCCTCCAGCAGTCAGACTATAGCATCTTGCCTGTTAGATAACAGGACTGGGGACTCCCTTCAATAGTCAAAAGGTACTCAATAGGGAGGCTGACAAATGTGGTGTATTGTCATACTCTTTTCATCCCTTGTCTGGGAACTACAAGATACTCCCAAAGACCTGACTAGAATTTGTTATTTAGCAGCCAATTATGAGCAAGTGGAAAGCAAAGCCTAGCTATTAATATTTATTTGTTTATTTTTACTAAAGCAATCTCAATTTTTTTAAAAAAAATTAGATTCACACCTAGCATTATATATACATGATATACATGTTCTTCTAGAGACCAATGTTTTGCTAGTGTGGTCTATGGCATGCTCAATGAAACAACAAATTCACTACCTTCACAACAGTCCAGTCGTCTTCAGAACTGTTCAGTTCTTCTTGAATTAAAAAATTCCCTTGCTTGCCTTGTTTATCTACATATGTCAGTTGATATGAAAGATACATTGTCCACTGCTTTACGGAGTACTAGTACATAAAAACGTTGGGCACATTGGGTGTTTTACTTTTTCTCCCCGGAAAGGCAAGATATACATCTCATAAATAAATATATTTTTTTAATTCATCACCTCTGTGATCCCATGTGTATTTTCTGTTAAATATGATTCACTTTCTTCTTTTTACTGGGCCTAAATCTTCCTTAGTAATGAAAGGCTATTTCCAAGAGCCACACCTAATAATTCTTTTTTAGTCCTTTCACTTTTAAAAAGCAGATTTCTCAAAATCTCAACAAAATTGCCATGTGCAGGAGAAATTCATGTCATGTGTTGACATTTGCTCACCACAGTCTGGATAGACACTCTAATTAACTCACTGTAACAGTCAAAGCACAGCCATCAGATGAAAAAAAAATATCCCTCCCTAGCTATCTGGAATGAATTTGAAACAGTAACATGGAGGTGAAAGTCTCTTGTTGCACATTTCAGTCCCATAACATATTGCCACTGACAGCATATTTAATTAGAGCTGGGGAAAGCTAAAGGCTAGCATACAGCTGATTTTAATAAGTACCAGTATTCCATCAAATAAGGTAATATCTGTACCTACCCTAATTTTCAAGGGTTATTAGAGTGAGGCTGGTTTTTGGATAGCCACCATAAAACATAGAGATACAATATAGTGGGATGTTGATTTGGCAAATATAATAGGGTTGTAACATTATTCATGAGGGCTGATGCATGCACCAGGTTATTTATCTTTATAGCAAGAATAATTCCAAAAGTATATATTCATAATTACACAGCAGAGTCAACAGGCTTCGCTTCTAAGCAGGTAGTGGATCTGGCATGCAAAAATTAAATTCACATGCTTTTGATGCCTTGGGCACTGTTATTCATTCTTCTTACTTTAACAATTATGTGTCAAATTTACATGTAAGCAGAAACAAACACTGACACAACTGTGTTCCATGTTTTAGACTGCTGCTTGTGTGGCATTTTGTGCTGTTGCTGTATTAATGTTTGTCTTTGTTTTCTTATGTTTGTATTCTACCTTATTGCTTTTATTATTACACTTGGGACATGTTGAATACTGAAATAATGAACAATGACAACATTCTGTGATGTTGACTGATGTATTTATACTATGTAGGCCCTTGAAAAATAGATCTGGCATACCTACTTTTAAGCTTTTTCCAGGTTGGTGGTTTTGAATTTGAAACATTTTGCCCACTGCAAACAAGCAAAACTGAAACAATGTTTTAAATAAGCCACTTTTGGTGGTTTTGGTAATGTATTTTTTATATATAAAAAACTCTTTTGACCACATTTGCATATAATTGTATGACACATTTTACACATTGAATGGTCAATTATCCATTCATAACTTTTGCATGATAAATCAAGCAAGTAATTTACAAAACATGCATTACCATTAGCAGGAGTCTTTTAGAGAGGATTGCTGTTTAGAATTCTGCTAATATAGCATTCAGCAGTTGCTAAGATAATTGTATTTGTGAATTCACATGCCAGTTGATTTGAAAATAAAAGTATAAGTTTAAAAGTCCAATCAAAAAGATTTCAAATTGGTATCATCATGGTTTAATGAACCATATTTATATTGAGGGGTGAAGACTGGTGATTCTTACCTTTTGTTTGCCTCTTGTCTCTACAGCCTCAATTCTATTATTAAATTGTCTAACAGCTTTGACTATACAGTAGTCTTCAGTTACCAGAAATGGATGGCAATAGAGTTCTATAGATATAGTCCATTTGCCACTCTTTCAGAGTGATGGTTATCTTTCAGTTACATGGAGTGAATATAATTTAAACTGGCTATGCAAATAAGGTTGGATGGAAGCATTTTTAAAACATTCTCCCAAATATGAATAATCTTTTGATACTTTTGAAGTTGTTGCTGGGAGAGCCCTGGGGGGGAAATGTACCTCAGATTTCCCCCAGTGACACCACTGGAACCTCAGCTAGATAAAAATAATAATAGTATATTAGAATTAACCTTTATGTAGGAATTAGAAGTTTAGTGCTTTTTCTCTTTATCAGACAGAACACATCCCTCCGTATGATGTAGTGCCTTCTATGCGACCAGTAGTCTTAGTGGGGCCTTCCTTAAAGGGATATGAGGTAAGAAATTTAATTTAATTAGGTATCTCTCTCCCCCCCCCCCTGTGTGTAAATATGAGAGGATGAGAACGAGTTCAATGATTTTAAAAGGTATTGCCTGCCTTGATGCTGCCGAAGTGTGTGAAATTTTATTAGATTCCCCCACACCTGTTGTTGGCAACATTTTGTTCATTTAAGAGTAAAAGTATTAATTCTCTCACATTAAATTGGTTTGTTTCTTCTTTACTTTCAGGTGACAGACATGATGCAAAAAGCATTATTTGATTTTTTAAAACATAGATTCGAAGGGCGGTAAGTATTTAAGAATCTAGACTAAGTTGGATTAGTTAAGACGGAATCCCATCCCCACTTCTAAGCCAAATATCTAAATCTGAATGGAATTCAGATTTATTTTTCTTTTAATTGCTTTTACTCTTATTTGGGTTTTCTCATGTTTGTTGACATCCTTCTTGAAATAAGCTACCAGAGATCACAGCTGAAAGACCTCTCCTTGAAGTTCATCCATGTAAGCCTTAAGGGCTTGAATATGCATAGATGGATTTTGTTTTGTTTTCATCCGTCCCCTTATGCTATATCCAACTTGCTTCTCAAGTGTGAACAAGTTTGTCTCCTTTCCTGTTGTCTGCAAATGTTACAAGCATACTTTCTAAGCTTTATCCAAGCAATATAGCAAAATATTGTCACCAATGAACCTCATGTGTAATATTTTTTTCCTGTGTAGAATTCTGTTTGTTATTTGACATGAATTACAAATCTTCAGAAACTGATATTATTTGATTAGTTTTGAAATTAATGTTGCACTTTACCTTTTTTCAAAAACATTGAAGGTAGCAGATTATGGCTGCAGTCCTATTCCTACTTACCTAGGAGTTCTGGGTAGGATTGACGTCTTAGTGTATATCAGCTGTTTTTAGCAACCAACAATTCAGAAACAAGAAAAGCAAAGTGGTACCTGGATGCATAACTAAATATATAAACATATAAATAAAAGCAGATTAGGGATACAGGAATGGGCAGAGGGCAGTGGGAACTGCAAATGATCACCTCAGTCACTGTTATACTGATGGATCAGATGTTACTATGTCAGCAACACAAATGTACACAACCCCTGGGGTGTTTTTTTAAAATCAACTAGCCTCATAATTGTAATATAGTCTTGTTAGCAATTATTTTGTTTCTAGTCAGCTAGTTTTAAGCATGTGTTGTGTAGTGATAAAGATGATGATCACTATTTGCTATGACCTGGATTCCACTTTCAAGTGGTAAACTGTGCAGGAGTCTCAAGTCTCTGTTAAACTATCTTCTGTACATTTCTGGCAGTTTCCCAACCACTCCTTTAAATGCCCCCCTCCAAGTGTGGGGACTTTTCGGCTCTCCAGATGTTGCTGAACTCCTACCCCCATCATCCCTGGACATTGGCCATGCTTGCTAGTGCTGATGGAAGTTGTAGTTCAGGAACTTCTGGAGGGCCAAAGGCTTCCCACATCTTCTCTAGGGTAATGGCAGATCCCTTGTTTTATAGTTAGTTGTTCATTCTGGCTGCATGTGTTTTTCTAGAAAATATAATTCCCATTGTGAAAGGCAACTTGTTTGATAAAGCTATGTTGTATAACTGTTTTAAACACAATTCTAAGGCAAATTTCCTGTACAGAGATTGTACCACTGTTACTGTTTCTGCAGTTACAGCATCTAAGTTGTATTTGATGCTTGCTTTATTTTATTTTTAAAAAAAGTTCCTTGCCTAGGCAGTTGACAATCAAAATTAACACACACACACACACACACACACACACACACGAAGTTAACTACTGTACTGTACTGCTTGGGAGCAGATAAGCAAGAATAAAGCCTGAAACCTCAAGATTTTAAGTGCTGTGTGAAAACCCCTTTTGGCTCAGAAGGGGTAACAACAAACCAAAAGGAGAGGCCCTGACTTGGTGTGCGAAAAGTATCCTAGATTTCTCTACAATGAATTACAACACTACTCTTTTTTTCTTGTTTTGTTCAGGATATCAATCACACGGGTCACAGCAGACATCTCGCTTGCCAAACGCTCAGTATTAAACAATCCCAGCAAGCATGCGATAATAGAACGGTCCAATACAAGGTCAAGTTTAGGTAAGTGAATGGAATGATAGTATTAAAAGTCATCGCTAACTATAATAATCCAAAACTTGAAAACTCTTCATTTTATAAAAAGGGGATTATTCACTATAACTCCACATACAGTGTCAGGTTTAGGCACTGCCTCTCTGTGGAAGTCAATTTTGGTACATCCATAGATCTTACTGAGGTAACACACGTACTTCTTGGGTAATTGTGCAGCTGAAATTATGTGCCTGTTTCAAAGTAGCAGGTTTTTCAAAACCATTCTTAGATTCCTTCTGTAGCTTAGTAAAAAAAATGCCCATGGTATTACAAAAGTTGGTCAAATATCCATCTAATATAAATTCTTATGTACTGGTTTGCTTCATATGTGCATCTCACAAACCTTTAGAATAAGTTCAGGCATCTTTCTTGTAAGATATGAGAGCAGGGGCACCAACTCATGGGGACTAAGCCCTTTTGCACCACCAATGTCCCAAAAAAAACCAGGGGGCAGAGCAAAGACAAGCAAGCAAACAAAAGCTGACTATATGCTTAGCATGGTATGTGTAATCTTTCTTCCTTGTCAGTATTTATCTTTTTTTCTCTTCTTGGCACCATGTAACTGTGGTATTTGTTTCCCCCATGTCGCTCTCTTCTTACTCTGTTGTGGCTGTTTTCTTAGTCCTTTTGAACACTTCATTCTTAAATGTGTAGGCAATCACTAATTCTCTTATTAGTCCTATTAGTTAATAGTTTATATTCCACCTTTCTTCAGTCACAGAACTCAATTCAGTGTTTATGGGGTTTCCATAATCCCCTGTCCAAGCACTGATCAGACCTACACGTGGTGCTTAGCTGCAGGAGGTATTTGCATCATGTTTCCTCAAACCATACACTGGGACCATGGACAGTCTCACAGCTGAAAAAGAACTATTCCAAGTTCATGTCAAGTCATTAGCAATTCAAGCATTTCCTCTTATAAATACTTCTGGGCATAGCATGTTTGTTGTGTTTCAAGAACAAATAGCTGTTGAAAAGTTATTTGAATCTACATTTGTGTGAGAAAGGAAGCTTTTCTCAGAACACATGGTTAAAATCCAGTAGCCATATATGTGTCTGTGTGTACATGACATCTGTATAAGTTGGCTTTTGCTTCATTTAGTCAGTTTCAAGACTCCAACCCCCTTTTTCTTGTTTGTTCCCATGTATGTTACATTTCTAGCTGTTCTTGTTGTAACCTTATCTCATTCTGTATGCTTTGGACAAGAACCTGATTCTCTTGGGTTTTTCCATTCTTTGCTTCATTAATGCCCTCCCTTTCCAGATGTTTTGGGTATGTATATATGGTTGCTAATTATTTTTGCTTTTGTCTTTGTGTTCATGACGTATTGCACATCACAAAACCACTATCTCTTTCTGATAGCTGGTTTTGTAACAGTAAAAACAAGTTATTGGTGTAGTCTGTATGGAATTCTCTATTCTAGAGGGTATCAATGATTTGAAATGTCAGAAATCAAGTCACAGTTGGCAGGAAAATACTCAGAAAAACCAAGATTGGATATCTAAATTGTGTACTCAGAATCTGTACTGCACTAGTCTAAGATAGTAAATGTGCAAGTACGAAAAGAGTTGTACATAGCTGTTTGTAGAAACAGTTCTCCTTTGTGTAATATATGCACACATTCTTGCATGTATATTAGAGGAGCTTTGCTTTGAAATTCTTGTCTTAGAAGCTTTGTTTACTTGTTTTGTTGCTATACATGCCATGCCGGTTGTGTTAGAAAAGACAACCTCCAAATGTTTGAAAAATTACTGTATTTTAACTAATGTGTAGTTGATGTGTATTCATCCAACATCCCTTGTTTCTAGCAAAAGATACTGTACGCATGAAAACCACATCCGTTGTACGGTGGTAGCCCTTAATAGCATTACAATCTATCAGTATAAGGAACTAAAGTTTCCATTGCTTTTTAAATATACCATTTTTGTAGTAAACTGTTTACCGCATTTTCTTTGCATTTCAAAATGCAATAAAATGCCATGAGCCAATGCATTCAAAATTCCAAGAGCAAGTTTCCCTCACACTGCACGCCTGTTTGACCTCACTAAAATTATCAAAATGTATCCACAGTCTTATAGCCCAAGCACAGGACCAGGTTGCTGATGGGGTGGGAACATTTTGGCTTCAGCTGTTAAGGAGAAAATTCTGCTTCACACAAATTTCTTACATGGGAGCAATTTTTGTGTCAAGTATTTTATCATGTAACACATTATCATGATAAGTAGCAGGGTTATTTTACTGAATTAATTTGTCCTCAAGACAGTTCAGTATTGGTGTACAATTCTTTTTTATTGATTAGGCAGTGGTTTTTCTCTTTTGAACAGCTTCCTTCTTTAGGAAGACATTCATTTCATTGACTGGCAGCTTCTCATATTTGAATCTCATTAGTTGTTTGAAGTGAAATCTGGTGAAGTTAATAAAGAATAGAAATGTAGAAGTGTACAGAGGATCTAGTATCCAGAAGTTGTGTCAGATTAGATTTGATACTATATATTATATATATAAAGTAAGTGTGTGTGTGTGTGTGTGTGTGTGTGTGAGAGAGAGAGAGAGAGAGAGAGAGAGAGAGAGAGAGATTCATTCATAGGAAATGTGGCTTACATCTAGAGGCAAAGTTCTGATATAAGCCCAGTTAAATATGCTGGTGTGGATCCACCAGCATCTAGATGGGATTGGGGCTAAGGCATTTAGTGTGGACCACCTTTGTTCAGAACTTAAAAATCTGTTCCTAGCCTAGATGGATAGATATTTCCCATGTTATATTTTGATATTTCTTAAATTAATGTGTTTTTCTATATTTGTTCCTGCTCAGTTTGTGAAATGCAACATGAAAAGGTCAAACATATATACATTTCCAAATACACCTTTGCAAATTTAGGCCACAATCTAGCCAAATTAAGCCATATTAATATCTTTGGTTTCAGTTAGCATTTGTACTTAACGTTCCCATTGAAATCATAATTCAACTTTTGCTGAACTGTGTGGTCGTTTGCCATTAAAACAAGTAGCAATTTACCAGCGTCTTCAGAAAATTAAATATCAACCCACCACATGTGAGATTCTTTGTCTTCCTAAATATCACAAAAAATGCCACTGTAATTACAAATTATAAGACTGTAACCCTGCTGAAAGTTCCAAGAGCTAATCCTCGCTTGAAGTTTTAATAAATGTTAACTCCTTGCTGCTAAAACATACTTGCCAGCATAGCAACTGCCCAGTTGCAATCTGGAGACCTTTCCTGGCTCTTAAATAGACTTGCATCATGAAAGAGGGAGCAGCTTTTAATGTGAAATAAAACTGGGTAAAAATGTTTTAAATATAAGGCAACCTCTGGAATGTTGCCATTTTGTGTATCCTGGCTCAGTCGCCACTGAGAATGCTATGCTTTGACTGAGGCCAAGGATGGAGGCCTCCTTTTCCTCCCATCCCATACTTACCCTCTTCCAGAAAAAAGTAGCAACTGACAACGCTTGACACTGCTTTGAAAAGGCTTCAGGCACAATAACCTTTAGTCACACACACAAATTTGTATGGAATCACTTTTAAAGAACTGCTTTTTGAGACTGCTTTTGCTCCATAAGGTCCAGTGTTACATATGAGACAGCTTTCTAGTGAATTATTCAACCCTTCTTGATCATTTATTTCTGATTTCCAGCAGATCTCTGGACATTTTTTTAACCTTTGCACTTGAGACCTTGTGACTCTTTTGTTCATGTTACAAAAACTAGTGACACAGTTGAGGAAGGGCTGAAAGCACTGCAAATACATTTCATTATTATTTTTTTAAATCGCAACTATATAAATCACTGATATTCCCAAGGCAGCTAGCAGGTATATTTCATTGACATGCCAAAGACAGATAAGAGAAGTGCCTATTGAAATAATTTTTTAAAAAGTTGAAGTAATCCAGTACAGAAGCGCAAGATGACAAATATTGATAGAAACAGAGAGAGTAGGATTTGGTCACCCATTACTTTGATTACTATCAGTTGAAGATGGTTTACTGGCAGCTACAATGTGGGATAGTGAAAGGTGTGGTTTTATTTCTCTTTACTTTGACACGCAGTAGTCTTAGGGCAGCAGCAATGGCCCTTAGAGTATGCAATATGAGTGGCAAAGCATTCAGTTTGATTATTCTTGGGCCCTCGGTGGTGCCAGGAACGGCACTGGATCGGGCTACCCACCTGCATGAAAATGTGAAGAAAGGCCAGTATCCAAAGATATTGGGCAGGAGATGAAAATTCTGAAACATTCTCTAATGCGTATACCCAGAACTCCTGACTGGTATTGAAATGGCCATAACCTGTTGGCAATTTAGGCTTCTCCAACCTTTTACCAAACAGAATCATTATGTTCTATATAAAAAGTGGGTGTGGAAAACGAACACATCCGTAAACAAGTGTCTCTTTGCTTTTCTACAGCTGAAGTTCAGAGTGAAATTGAACGAATATTTGAATTAGCAAGGACGTTACAGCTGGTAGTACTTGATGCCGATACTATTAATCATCCAGCTCAACTTGGTAAAACCTCTCTGGCTCCCATTATAGTCTATGTAAAGATTACTTCTCCAAAGGTAAATATTTTCCACTGGTAGTTCAACGTTTGGCCTAACCTTTGCTTCCAGTCCCATGCTGCGGTGTGGAGATACTCGTGTTGCCTGGAAATATTGATGAATTACATCTTTGAAGTACTGTGTGGTAAAATATATTTAATGAACAGTACATAAGTACAGTTTGCCGCCGTATTTCTCACTAAGCCCAAAGGAAGGGGAAGATACATTATACAATTGACATCTTTTGTATGGGATCTGGCTTCACAATATCAAGCGATAAGAGTTCAAGAGGGGTGAAATCGCTGGCCCTGAATGCACAAAAGAAACAAATTTTAAAGAATTTAAAGGGGCAGTGTGGCTGCTTGCTGGTCCACTGTGACTCACCCTACAGTTGATCAGTGTTTTCTGTGCCCCTGCTTTAAAATACTTCTCTCATTGCAGTATCTATGCATGCAATCTGTTTCTTACATGGTTCAAAATTGATTCCGTTATATTTTCATTCTTTCATATTTTAACTGTGGTCTTCTTTTCCCACAGGTTTTACAAAGGTTGATAAAATCCCGAGGCAAATCTCAGGCAAAGCACCTTAATGTTCAAATGGTAGCAGCTGATAAACTGGCTCAGTGCCCTCCAGTGAGTTATTCTTAACGTATATGGGTAGAGCTGTGGAACTGGAACTCGTTCCTTTCTCTACTGATTGAAAATGACCTGAAATTAAATCTGTGTGTTCATTTTTGCAGCAAGTTCTAGCCACGAGTTCACAAATCTCTGTAATTAATTATTCCACAGTTCAGCTATCTACACACATGCAAAACCTGTTCTAAAAGCAATAACCATGTTAATCAAATAGTGGGAAAGGATCCTCCCAATTGGTGCAATTACTGATTTTGGAAGACAGATCCATCAACATAGCCAAGCCAGGTGGATTTGAGGGGATGAATAGTGCATGCAGCAGCACTATGTAGCACAGTTCCTTATCCAGGTCAAAAGGCCACTATAAATAACTCCTACATCAATGGTCTCTTCCTCTATGTACCCAAGTATTGGATATTGTATGCTGGGTGCTATAACCTGGTCTTTTAGCTTTCTGTTGCAATAATGGGTTTTCCCTTCTTGCCAAAACCTCTCACTTGTACTTTCAGTTGCCAAATCAAAACAAAATCTTAACCAGAATGGTGGAAATAGTGATTCCCCACACCCCAGGGTAGTAAATTTCTGTGTTGTATGGCAAAGCTTTGGCTGATTTTAAGTGTCACATGAGTTTAATGATTTGAATATTATGAACATGGTTTTCCATAGTTCTTTGGTTATGGCGTTAGATGATTTTAATTTTTTATTTATTTTTTTTGCATTGTTTTGACTGAATTAATCTCATTTCCAGGAAATGTTTGATGTGATTCTGGACGAGAATCAGCTTGAAGATGCTTGCGAGCACCTGGCTGACTATTTGGAAGCTTATTGGAAGGCCACACACCCTGCTAGCAGCCACCCTCCTAATGAGCTTCTCACTCGCACACTGGCAACCGCCACTCTTCCTATCAACCCAGGCCCAAATGTTAATTTGCAGGTAAAGGTACTTTTTGAGTGCCATTTGGTTTTAAGGCTTTCCTCTAAGAGTCCCTGCTGTGCACATGCACTGTGGTGGCTGTTTGTGTTACAAAAATGGATCTAATTCCCAGTATTAAAAGATCGCAGGTGTTCTCTGAGCTTTCAGATCCGATGCAGGTGAAAGATGAGCTGTTCCATTTCAGCCTAAAATAAGTAAAATATCTGAAAATGGAGACAGGTTGTGCAATTTACAACAGCCAGATTCCAGCCTAAAGCAAAGCCCCCAGTTCTGGCTTTATTGAATTAATGACCAAAAGTAGTCTATATAAGGTTAAGTAGAAGTACTTTTTCTAGGAGTTATGACTGTAGAAAACAGCAAAAGAGTTCTGCTCTTGCCTTAACTCTAGTTTTGTAATAAAAAATGAAATTGTAATATTTAGGATAATATCTTAAGTATGAGCATTTCATTAGGAGTAGCTAAATCTTTTGAATTTGCTTTTAAGTGATTTTGTGAAAATTGTAAAAAAATGATGCAAGTTAAGATGATTAATCAAAACCGTTCATTTTTCAGTGATTTCAAAACATTGTGCTGATGAAGATTAGGTTTGATTATGCTTGGTAATTTTCACTTCCGTTTTCAGTAATGTGATAGGAAATTAAACAATAATTTCACTCTGTTTTTGTTTTTTGTGGCAAAGTTCAACCCTTCTGCAAAAATAAATTGGCAGTTTAAAAAGACATCTTGCCACAACTAGAATGCACTTACAACACAATCCAAACATGTTTACTCAGAAGTAAGTTCTGCTGAATTCAGTGGGGCTTACTCCCTAGTATGCTTGTGTAGGACTTAAAAGCTTAACTGCCTTAAAAAACAGCACAGCAGTGATATTATTGATGTTATAATACAAGTGCTATCAAGCTTGAACCTCTGAATAATTTTTATTTTAAGGACAGTATCCTGTTTTTAAAATGAAAACTCTTGATTCACCTACATTCTGTGGTTTGCTATTGATCTTTTTTGCGCTGATATTTGCTTTCAAAAATCGTTCAGGTTTATCTCATGCCTGATTCACCCACCTCTGCTCTTTATTTTCCGTGTGGTGTGTCTGTGCTGGGAGGTGGGGCTAATAAAAATGTTCTGAAAGTTGATATAATCACCAGAGCTCAGGGCCAAAGTGAAATTTTGTTTTCTTTGCGGCATGAAGGTTCACTTGTATTATAAAGCAGTATCTCCAGTAAAAGTTCCAATTCTTGTATTCCTAGATTTGACCATAGCTGTTAGTCATAGGTTGACTTCAGACAGCTTACTGTGGAATAGCATTGTGAAAAATGTCTGCTTAACAGTTTAAGGATCATGACATTACTGGTTTATAAGGCGTTTTCTGCTCAATATTTGTCAGTGTGAAATTACAACTCTGTTGTATTAATCAGGGCTCTCAAGGAGATCAGAGGAATGAACAATCAGCCCCTGAACGAACTGGTTCCCAAGCTGAAGAAGCAGCACGGGCCGAACCCACCAGGAAATCTCAACACCGCTCTTCCACTTCAGGCCATAACCATCGTAGTGGAACTAGTCGTGGCCTGCCTAGACAAGAAACTTTTGACTCGGAAACACAAGACAGCAGAGATTCAGCATACGTAGAGCCAAAGGAGGATTATTCTCATGAACACTATGATTCTCATCGAGATCACAGTCACAGGGATGAGTCCCATGGGAGCAGTGATCACAGGCACCGAGAATCAAGGCTTCGCTCAAAGGAAAAGGACCGAGAGCAGGACCATAACGAAGGCAACAAGCAGCGTAGCCATCATAAATCAAGGGACCAGTATTGTGACAAGGATGGGGAAGTGATATCTAAAAAACGCAATGATACAGCAGAATGGAAACGAGAGGTGTACAGTCACCAATAACGTTTGGCAGTTTTGTGTTTCTTTTGAAGTTGTGTATGACAAAGCCCCACCCCACCCCCTTTTTAAAAAGAACAAATCTGGGTTTTCATTGCAGAACATGTGGTATTCTGTCTGCTGCTTTAAAAAAATTGCTGTTGCTATCACAGCAATAGCATGAAATAGAATATTCATTTTGATTAGTGCTATAACACATTGGCATAGTACAACTGCGAAATCCCTGGTGTTGTACCAAGCTTTTCTCCCCCCAAAGCCGTTTTTGGTAGCTGCCACTTGAACAATATCTGTTGTCATCAAGGTGTTGTTAGTGTTTTCAGACAAAATACAATTGGTGTTTATTAACTTCCCATGTTTTTCAGCAAGCCAAAATCAGCACATCCAAAACTGAAGCTCTCATCCATTTTGATTTTTTTTAATCGTTAGGCACCTATTTTGCCATTGATTTGAGAGCCACTTTCTGTTGATTGTACTTCTAGTGGACTACATTTGGAGACAGAATTCAGTTTTGCCTTACACACAGGGGATCATAAAGTCAAAATCTCTTTTCTATGTACTGGTACTGTGTACTGTATAGACAGTTTATAAATGTTATTTCTGCAAACACCTTCTTATATAAGATTGACCACACTGTTTAAAGTCCTAATGCCAAGTCAGCAGATTTGCTTTTGAATTACTGGCAACTGGAACTAGCCTCATTCAGGAAATTTGTTAACAAGGTTCACTCTAGACACACTTTCTTCAGTAGCAGAAAGCTTATATTTAGTGTAAATAGGAGTACATTAGGATAAAAGGTTGGATTGTCCTTGCAAACTTAAAATCATTTTTGCATTTTTAAATCTACAGCAAAAATAATGTGACACTATAAATGCTCTAAACAGGACACACTAATTGCAGTGAGCACACAGATAACGTTTTTTCTTGTCAACTTGATAGGCCACATTTGACATGGTGCAAGTGTGTGTTTGTGTGTAAAACAATTTATGACAGGAGTGGTTGTAAAGGGTACACAGAAGACTCTATAGGCAACCCATATGTTATGAATCAACCATAATTTCCACCTTTAGCTGCTCAGGTATTACGATTTGTACACACACACACACACAGTACAATGTCAGGAAAACCTTAATTGTACTTTCATGAAAAGGGATTCCCACACTTTCAATACGCCCTCTTATCGAAGGACTGCGTGATCTTCCAGGCTTAGATTTCAAGCACCACACTGGCCATGGCAGCAGAGAACTCATTTGAGCAGCTAAATATGGCAATTGGGGCTGAATCATAGCACATCAGTTGGTCCCGAGAATGTAATTATTCCAAAAATGAGTAAGGGTTTTCCTTCTGTCTGCAACTCTAAAGGTGCAAATTGCAGGCAAGCAACATGAGGAAGTTTATGTCTACAGGTAATTGGGAAAGCATCAATCTGCTGGCTCTTCGTTGAGGATCCAGGAAAGTAAAAAACACAGGCAAATGTGACTGAGTGTTTCACTGGAAATGTAAAATCTTTTTGTGTTTTAGAGTATTTGTTTTAGTAAGAAAAGTTTACACTGCTTGTGGAGAGTTATTTTGTTGGAAAATAAATTTTTGTAGCTTCTCCACTTTCCTATATTTGACAATCTCTGTATCCTGGTTAACATGGCCTTCCGACACTTGCCTCTGGATTTTAGCCTCTAGCAAGTTCCTAAAAGGCTATTGTAACTTCCTGACAGAAGCAAGCAAGACTCCAAACTGAATTTCAGGTTTGCCCTGTACAGCTAGTATACTTGCAATGAGAGCGAGTTAATACAGTCGGAAAAGGGAAGGCGGTAATAGAAACAGGTGCTCCACACACACAATTTATGTGCTGGGGACTGGAACAAGTTCCAGAATTCCCAGTGGGAAAGACATTCACATCATCCTTGTGGACAGTGGTTCCCAATCGGGGGGGTCAGCGTAACCCACCCAGGGGGGTCTGTGGCACCATTCAAATAACAAAAACTACCAAAGAGAAATAAAAATTGTCAATAATATGGGGTACATGGCTTGGCTTTTGAAAAACGGAAGCTGCAGTACTTAGCTAATTGGTAACTGCTGCACTATGAGACTTTAACAGGACTCGAAGAATTAGAAGGAACTCAGGGCATCGGCAACTCTCTGTCTCTGTCTCTCTCTCTCTCTCTCTCTCTCACACACACACACACACACACCCGCAAACCTACTACAGTGCTATGGGGTAATTACAATATAATGCTAGACTGCCAATGTCCAGGGTTAGGTGAACAGGAAGCTATTTATCCCAGAGCTCTGTAGACACTTTCTAATTAGGGAGAGTATTCCCACCTCTCCACCCATGATTCCTTGGTGGGGGGCTTCTCACTATTTATTGTATTTCTGCTCAAATTCCCAATATTCTAAAGCCCTACCCCCCCACTCCCCTGGCTATAGTCATTACTCTTAATACTTTGAATCTGGCTTTTAAAGCCTATTCTTTATTGCTGCAGGATTTGTTCTACTTAAAGTTAATCTTTGCAACACTTTGGCAGGATTTCAAATTCTTCAGCATCTGCAACAAGCTTCCATATAAAGCTATGAACTTTGTAATTGTCCAGTTGGAACTGGAAACTCAATGGGTTTGATTCAGATAGTTCATTTGGACTGCCATTCTATTCACTTATATGGACGCAATTCCACTGAACTCAATGACACTTTTGAATAGAAATATATAAGATTGCTATGTTAGTTTCCATTGAAATCAATAGGTCTTAAAGGTGACAACTAGCTTGTCTCATTGATTTAAATGGAATTTAAGTACAACTAACTTGGTTTAGATGCAATCCAATGTTTATTCATTTCTTCATAGTATGCACTATTAGCAAACTGATGAATTCTAACAAATCTATTGGTGTCAAGGCTGAGTACTATAGCTCATAATCTTTTAATGATTACTATTTGGTACTTAATAACCCTATCCATAATGTGTTTTCCTCAATTACTCTTAAGAGAAGAGGTAGGCTGGCCTTGTACTTCTTGCAAAGTGATGGGTCATTTTTCTGTTACGAAGCTGCTCACTAAGAACCTGACATTCAGCCAGAATACAACAGGGTTTTTAAATAATCAAATCAATGCTAAAACATTCAGATGAAGAAAGTGCTATGCATATACAACTTTGCTTTATTTACAGCATTGTAAAATGGCAAATGTCCTTTGCCCTAATAATCAGGATTTGTGCTGAATACTAAAAAGCTTTTTAACTTGTGTGTTTTTATAACCTTGGGGAGGGTTGTTTATTTGTTTTTGAACTGAAAGTTGTGGGATGTACTTGGGAAGAGAGCTGGAAAGAGCAGAAGCCCCCCAATTATAGTCATTCAGGGTAGGGGTAAGTATGGTAAGGGGCACTTGGCACAGGCACTTAGTGGAATGCTTCCCCCAGAGAGTCTCGCCTGGCACCTTCATTGCATACCGTTAGGTGCCAGGTGAAAACGTTTCTCTGTGACCAGGCCTTTGGCTGATTAGCACTCCATGGCATTTTAAGTGGGGGGTTTTGGGGGGGTTGCTTTTGTTTTATTATTTTTTTGTGTTCTCATTTGGTATTTTTATGTTTGTAAACCACTCTGTGGTCTTCAGATGAAGGACGGTATACAAATTTAATAGAACAGTAATAATGATGATGATGATGATGATGATGATAATAATATGTTGACTGGCAATAATGAAGATGCAACAGTACATTTAAGAAGGTTTTTGATCTTAAGTCAAGATTATGAAGAATGGGTAAACATTTATAAGGGAAATTTATATTGTTTTTATTGTTTCGTCTCCACTAAAAGTTTGGAAACCAAACTGGCAATGTAATGGCTTTCCAGACACTAAAAGGGCTTGCTAGGCATGCAGAATTAAACTGCAGTATGTATGCTAGTTACGACAGAGTCACAGTCAAGTTAAATTCCTACCCTCGGGCTCATATAATTCAATAAATTTCCTTTAAAAAGACAAATCTCAATGAATAAAGAGGAAGGAATTTTAGGATTTAAAAAACCCCTTCTACTTGATTGAGTTAATGCACTTACAAATTCATTCTTGCCACGACAGATTCTTGCACATTCTGTGCCATATAAGTAACAAACATGTCATGTTACATAGTAGACTCTATATATTAACCTCCACAAACTCACATTTTCCCCTCGGGATTTCCACTCCAATTCTCGCCCTCTGCAGGAAACACTGGGCTCCCTGATTTTTTCAAACAATAGCTAGCTTCTTGCAAAGCTTATGTTAAGGAGTAGAGTGCAACTGTTTAAGCAAAAGTAAAACAAGCCAGCATTACTGTAATATATGTGTTGCACAGGCTAGGCCTATTAACATTTAGTCATAAATGCAGACCTAGTCATTGCCTCCTTTTTCTTGCTGACTTACATTTCACTCATGGTGAAACAGATGCTTTAATTCAATGCCAGGCTGCCTCCACTCATGCCTTCTCTTAATAGCATCTGTCAACCTTGTTTCACCCTCCCATCTACATACAGCCCTGTTGACAGTAAAGTAGGCCATTAATGCAAATGAAAACACATGGTAAGTGGGTCCTCAGTGTGGAGGAAGGCAATCACTGCACTCCTACTGTCCTGAATTTCAGTGATGACTCCAACCTGTATCAGATCTGAAAAACTAAAGGCAAGGGTGGACAGATGGAGGCTATGTTGTAAAGCCAGCTACACTGGAAAACGTTTACCTAGCATGCAACTTAAGGCAGACACTTAAACTTGCAAGTATTTTTTGGTCCATAAATATGTACCTTCCTTGTTCTCTTAAACCAAATGTTTTTGATACAAGAATATGTGAACCACACTGCTATGTTTTAATACTTGTAAGAAATCCTATGGATTCAAGTGAATGCAACTGTGTGTATGTGTGCACACACTATAGAAATGCAGCAGCCTCTGATGCTCAGGCAAACAGCAAACCTCTTGCCGTCTCTCACACAATGACTACATCAGCCCTCAAGAGTCGTTTGTGGGAGTTGTAACCTCCTCTACACTCAAGTCAACGACTCAAGTTCACATTAACTTCAGAAATAAATTTAGTTAGAACTTCTAGCAGAAAAACTTACAGCTTTGTGCAGCAAAAGCCAATTGTGCCCAAGCCCAATTAAGATTAATAAATAGAACTTAAATTCAAGATGACAACAACAAACAATTATTTATACCCCGCCCATCTGGCTGGGTTTCCCCAGCCACTCTGGGTGGCTCCCAATAGAATATTAATAATAATAAAGCGATAAAACATCAAACATTTAAAACTTCCCTAAACAGGGCTGCCTTCAGATGTCTTCTAAAAGGCAGATAGTTGTTTATTTCCTTACACAGTTCCACCCGATTTATCTGTTGCTGAGCCTTCCCATTTCAGACAGGATGTGTATGATCACATTTGAATCTCCCCTCTCAAATACACAAGACTTCCTGTATTTACATGTCAGGACACAATGTTCCAGGCTACTTTTTTATGTGTACATAAAGCGGGGGAAGATCTAGATATTTCAGTCCCATGCTGCAGTACAAAACTCAATTACTAAGTTTCATTCCATTGCTTTCAGTGAAACTTGTTTATGGTATAGAAAACTAGCACCAAATTGATTCAGTCAAGCTTTCTACTTGATGGTGATTTTCCTCAGCAAGCTGAAACTTCCCTCCCGTGTCATAGTCTTGTTGCTGAGCAAAATCATGCAGAGCTCAGCGCAGTGGGAAACCAGCCAACCCAAAGGGTCTCTGAGGTGTACTTGCCTGGAGTCAGAGTCGGCATCCAAAGTCAGGTCCAGTCCTAGGGTCGGGCAAACAGCAATCCACGTGGTCAGACAGTCCAGAGGTCAAAGAATCTGATGAGCAGGTGGCCAAGGATCAAGACGAGCAGGGAGCAGCAAGTTAGGCCCAGGAACTACAAACGTTACCAGCATCTGACTGCTGCTGGAAACTCTGCTTAAGAAGGCTGAAAGCCAGCTGGTTCTCATCAGGGCCTTCTCCTCCTGATCAGCTGCAGGTGGAGCCACTCTGCCTTCTTCCCCTTCTGCTGTTCAGCAGGTGAAGCTGACTCCTGGCCCATGACATCCTGTGATTCCTATGATGACTGCCCCAAAGCTGTTTTTTCCTAAGCTTCATAGTAGGATTGGGCAGGGGGCAATTTCCATCATAATTGGGGAATGTGGTGGGAAGGTTTAAAGCTTCCCCTACTATCCCTGTTGTGCTGCTAAGCTGACTGGGGAACAGCTGAGAGTGGTGTAAAGGGCTGGAATGCAAAAGAAGTTATTGCACTGGCTCCCGGTGGAGTACAGCATCAGGTTTAAGGTGCTGGTTTTAACCTTTAAAGCCCTATACGGCCTAGGACCCTCGTACCTATGGGACCGCCTCTCCTGGTATGTCCCGACAGAGAAACTTACGGTCTTCAAATAAAAACATCTTGAAGGTCCCAGGCCACAGAGAGGTTAGGCTGGTCTCAAACTAGAGCCAGGGCTTTTTCGGCTGTGGCTCCGATTTGGTGGAACACTCTGTCACAAGAGACTAGGGCCCTGCGGGACTTGACATCTTTCCGCAGGGCCTGCAAGACAGAGCTGTTCCACCAGGCCTTTGGCCAGGGCACAGCCTGACTCCCTCCCTCGGCAATCTTCGCGGAGCTCTGGCCCAATGGTTGCCAGTGGCTTGATTTGAATTAATTTTATAATGAATGATTTTAGAGTGTTGTTTGTGTTGTACTTTTGTACTGTTTTATTGTTGTTAGCCGCCCTGAGCCCAGCTTCGGCTGGGGAGGGCGGGATATAAATAAAATTTATTATTATTATTATTATTATTATTATTATTATTATTATTATTAAAGATGGATCCCTTCTTCCTGCTGCTAACCAGCTGATCAATAGGAAGATCTGTTGTGGGCCATGATTAGTCAGTGGACCAACAGAAGGGCAGAGGAGACGGATTACACTCTTGCAAACAAGAGATAGGACTATGCATACTGACCAGAGAATGTGCTTGCTGCCTGCAGAACGTACAAAACAAAGGTCAGATATATCCCCCCTCCCAATGATCTTGGAGATTATACATAATGACCAGAGGATGTACAGGATTCTGTAGATATATATGCATTTCCCAAGTTCCTCTGGAGATTATGCATATTGCCTGTAAAATGTGCACTATTCCCTCTTCATGGATGAATTATGTGCACATTCTCCCTGATGCCTGGTGCATCTGTACACTGGCCAGTTATGCACATTAACCACTCAACATTCCCCATTCCATATATATTACATCATTCTAAACTGCTTGGTGGCATTTGTTCTAGTAAGTGGTATATAATTAAAAAATAATAATAATTACTGCTGGAATTGAGTATCCACTTGTTGGTTCCCGAAATGCAGTGGAATACGCAAATCTATAAATCACAAACATATTACAATAGAAGCATTTCTAGGATGCAAAAGCTATTTAAATAAAATAAAAATGAGACAATATAAAAAGCAATGTGAATGATAAGATTCTGAGTTGCCACTCCTTCTAGGGCCAAAGATGATGGTGACGCTTGAAGGATTTTTGGTCTGTTAGCTTAATAGTATTTCTTTACACCAGTCTCAGAATAAAATATGGGACAGCTGATCTTGGAGTTCACAAATCTGCATTCGCCGGAAACAGAATGTTAGAATGCTGCTAGAAAGTCAAGATACAAGGAAAATAAGATTAGGCCTTGAAAGATATCTGCTTAGAAGACATGGATTAATAATTTAAAGCACCAAGATGTACAATATCACTTAAAAGATTAATATTGTTTTGTAAGAAATGCCATTTAATAATATAAAATTGTTTTTCAAAAACAGCAATTTGAGAGTTCGGATAGGTTTTACAACATGTGACAGTGTATTTAATTACTGATAAAATACTTTGAAAGCAGATTTTCTACTGTACATAATTGCAGCTTTTTTTCTAAAAAAATAAATAAATCTTTTAGACAAACTGAAAAACAAGCATGTTTCTAGAATCAGTGACCTACTGCTAATATAAAACCAAATGGAGCTTTACAAATTGAAGCTGCCCCTTCCCTCAGACTTGTTTCTCCAACCTGTGGATCTCTTCCCAAAGGAAACAGCTGGCAGATTTTGCTGCTGCTATGGCAACTGTGTCGTCAGTCTGTTGGCTTGGCAACATTGCAGCAGCATGAAGGTACAGTTCAGAATGCTCCAAATGTTAACAGAAAGGGTGCTTTTTATGTCGACTTCTAAAGCCATGATTTTCACGGTACTTTTATAAATTTTGCAATAAAAAATCCTATGCAGTCCTTATTTGCCATGCTTATCAAATCTTCGTATCTGAATTCTTGCAGTGAATTAAAATCCATTCCCTGCAAAACTGCTTCAGATGGATCAAACCTCTGCAGCTTTTTCAACTGCTCAGGTGACAGCCCAGCTCCCATCATGCCTTCTCCTCCAATATGGGGCTCCTTTTAGAGAGGAAAATAAAACAAATGGGCTTAATTGCTCTGCAGTTCATTATTTATTTACCCGAAAATGAAAGCCAGTATTCACAAGGGTCAGTGCCTCTAAATCTACCACCGTAGGCACATCCTTGGAGTACATTTACTGCAATCTAAACTGTCCTGGAGCTTGCCTTGCTACATTCCTCTGGAAGGAAATATATTTGTAGAAAGGCTCAGACTAAGGAGGCAGCAGAGTAACACCGAAAATAATTTGCTCATTATCAGTTAACACTGATGAAATTTACACTAACGAAACACCACTTTTTAAAAAATGAACATCATATGCAATCTAATTTATGCTTGAGTTGCCATGTTGTGTCAGCAGCAAATCAGTGATGGAAGGCTCTGAACATGGATGCGCAGGTGTTACAGTACTGAAAATATTGAGATAATCACACTATTTTGCTACCCAACAGGGGTGGGCTTTCCCAGGGCAAGTAAATCCTGATACTACTGACAAGAACGTGTTGAGACTCAAGCTGCAATCGTATGCATACTTACATGGGAATAAGTCTCACTGAATTCAGTGGGCCTCACTTCTGAATAGACCTGTATAGGATTGCACTGTAACAGTGGGTGGAGCTTCACTTAATAGTCACTGTTGCATATACTTGTACACCCCAAAAACCTTGCAGGGTGGCCAGGAAGGATGGAAGATCTTGGAGAATGGTCAGCAGCAGGACCTCGGGGCTCTAGCATCAAGCTCCAACAGACCAAAGGCCTGTGATCTTTCCCTGCCACTGCCTATTGCTGGGAGGAGTCCAAGTCCCTGGGTAATAGAGAGAGAGAGCTCCCCCTTTAGCTTTGTGTTCAAGGAAGGATGCTTCTTTGTAAAATACTTAAAAGGAATGAATGGGGGGGGGCAGCCTATGAGAGTCTTTTTCTGTCTCCAGCACATGGTGCCAATGAGATACACACAAAAATAGCAGATTTTTGCATAATCAGGCAGATCATATATATAACAGATTTAGGGACCTCGTAAATGGAAACCCTGATTTATGTGTGCTTCTTTTACATGTCTCCTTCCTCAGAGAAATGTAGTAAGACACTTAATGCTGTTAAAGGTTTAACCAAAGAAAGCCTCATACCAAACAGTTCAGTTCATCAAGTGCTTCTTCTAGTCTTTACATCTAAGGATGGCATTGAATTACTTTAATATGTTATGCCCTGGAATTTCAATTGTAACAAACAACCATAACAGTGCATCAGCATTTTCTGTAGACATGCAATAAGACAAGCATGATTACAAAAAATACACAAAACCCACTATCAAATTAGAGGCTGTCTCAGCCATTTAATCCTGCAAGATTAAAACCTAATCCCTTTAGCCACTGTTAGTGAAGGTCTGGGAGAAGCGAAGTGCAACTAATTAAACTCGAAGTCACACAATTATCTGATGCCTTCTGAATACACAACTTTTCAGAGTTTTGTGTCATATCTGATGCAGTGTTTTGGTAGGCATGTATTACAAAACGTATTAGATACTAATATTTACATTAGTTAATGATTCCGAAACAGCTGCCCACTCATAAAGCACTGGCACAGCCTGCTGAACCCTGCACAGGGAAGGGCAACAGAGTCATAGAAGCTCATCCACACAGATGTTTCCCCAGCCCTCTCTCCCTGCAGGATCAGCAGAGTGCCCAGACTCCGATAAGTCAATGCAGGCGTATTCTGTGTCCATCTGCTCCTCCTCCCTGTGCCCTTTGTAGGGGGGAAACAAATGCTTAGAGACAGAAAAAAGTTGAGCAGGCCACATGGTGCTGCGGGTTCTGGCCTTCCTGGCAACCTCTGCCAGCTCATAGGACTCTGATTCTGTACCAGCAGGTGTAAAGCACTTGAGGTGCAGCTTGCGCTACGATCAGGGAAGTTACCTCACTGGGAAAAGGCCTTCTCTTAACTGTTGGCGGGATCTTAGAAATCACTTTTAGTAAGAGTACTGGGACAGAAATGGGGACAGGCAATGGCCATTCTTAAGATGGCATGGAAGGCTAAGTTTTGGGGAGAGGTCTCCAATCAAGTCTCTGCTTCCCTGTCTGATGAACTGGAAGCTTTGGGAAGCAATGGCTGGTTTTGTGTGCATGTCTGGGAGGGTGGGGAAACCTAAAAGTATAAAATAATCATAGAACTGCACAGCTGGAAGGGACCACGAGGGTCATCTAGTCCAACCTCCTGCAATGCAGGAATCTTTTGCCCAATGTGATGCTCGAATCCACGACCCTGAGTCACGTGTTCTCTACCGACTGAGCTATCCTGAGTACAAGAATGCCAAAGCTTTGGGGCTCCCCCCACCCACTGAGGCTGCTCTGCATGTTCCGGGTGGAGTGTGTGTATTTGGGCGCATTGAGGTGTTTCAGAATATGGAATGCTTCGTTAATTTCTGGGTCATCCTTTTGCAGGGGCCATGCTAATCTTCTCTGTATCATTCCAATTTCAGTCTATGTGCTGCCAAAGTAGCCACAGCAGAATAAGCATAGGAAACTGAGCAGAGCTCAGAGTGGCAGCAAGTAGAAGACAGGGCTGTCAGCAAGCATGTAATGTCATATCCTAGTGAGAAAGATGCAATTTAAACAACAACAACAACAACAACATGTTCTTACCTGTGACTGAAGCTGAAGGCATGGGAAGCTCTCCAGTGCCCAGGCAACTTGCTCCTCATTTTCAGAAAGCGTAATTGTGCAGGTACTGTATACCAAGATGCCCCCTGGCTTCAGCAGCTGCACTGCCTAAGGAAACAATACTCTCATTTTTAGGATACCATCATTTCTCAAGCAAACTTACTTTTAGAATGCAGAATTACACAGTCCATATTCATTTTGAAAGGACCAAGGACAACTTCTCATGATGTTGTTTCAAGCTGCCTTTGTGTTGTGAGCCTTGTGTGTGTACCAGTGTGTACTGTCCTCCACTGCACTGCCTCCCCTGTATCCTGCAGACAAATATTATAGGCAACTAGCCTAGAGTGGCAAGTTAACAAGCAAGGGTCAATCTATGTGGCCAGTACACATGGCTGATAAAAATCTAACAATTAAGATCTTACACTTTTGATGTTTTCAGTCTCGCAAAGACACAATATCTTTTAGCAGATATTATCAAAAGGTAAACAAACACTTCCAAACTAGTCTCTCCTTTAGGAAAAGTGGAATGCATATACAAATGCTGGCCTTGTTTAAACAAACATTTGAAGGGTTCTAGGACACGACTGAAACTTCCCTTCTTTTTGGCTCAGCAGATTCCAATACACAAGGGAACACAGCTGAATAAATCATGATTGTTGATGTTCCCAACCTCCATCTGAGCACAGCAGTGATATTAAAGATGTCTTGGGACAAGGCAAATAGGGCACAAAGCCATCTTCCCACTAGATTCGCTAACTTTGTCAATTCAACAGAAATGAATCCTCCTTACTTCTGTCAATACAAGAGCTTAGCATCCAAGATGGATTTCGGTAGCCAGGGTTACACTTTCAGTGAATTTGAAATTTTATCAAGGGTGTCATTCTGTTTGATGTTTGAGGGTGGGGGACTATTCTATGCACGTTTAAGTAATATCATGCCCAAGCCCTACAGATGGGGCAGACTAGCAAGCCAAACAGATAAGTAAACTACCCCTCAGTGATTCTCAAACATCTCTTGACTATACTGAAGAAATTATGCACTACCCCTTTTATTTTAAAAGAGAAAGGGTTAGAAAAGACATCTCTTATCAACTGAATCTTTACCAACAAAGGTGAATGCCTGTGCTAAATTTAACTAGATCTATTTATGTTCAAAAGATATTGTCTTCCAGCTTTAGAGTTGATTGGCCTTTCTGTATGGTTTGCCTCCACATCACCATAGACTCTGCCGCCAGGAGAACAACAATGTGTTTTAGATAGGGAGCTTGATTTAGCCTTGTTACACATCTATTCCAATGTTGCTATTGGTTCGAGAACAATGGAGCTCAGCGCAACCCCAACCAGCTGAACTTTTGCATGTGCCATGAACTGGGTGTGCTCAAGAAAGGATGACCAAGTGCCAACTTCTACAGTGTAACCGTGTGCACTTCCCTTGCCTCCCTTGTACTAATAAGACAAGGCTGTGAGCTAATGGGTCAATTCCTTTTCCTTTTTTTTTTTTTTGCAGAGGGATCATAGCTCGCAGATACGCAGGCAACCCCAATAATTTATTGTAGAACCCTACAGAACTATGAATCACTCCCATTCCCCACCTCCAAGGAACTGGATTGAATTTAAAAGATACATTAAGAAGCTGCTATTTAAAACTACAAAATCCACAGAGTGGGTTTCAACACAAGATTTAAGTACTTGGAAGGGGCTGGGGCTGGCTAGTAAGCTGGAGTTCCTTGGAGAAACTTGATGAAGGGAAGCCAGGATTGCAGACTAAGACTATGCAACTGATGAAAGCTTTCCTTTTAATTCAGTATATAAGGACAAAGCAGAGGAAGCTTTTGAGGTGCTTCGAATGAGGAGTAGGGCTGTGCAACAAATCGGCGTATTGTTGAATACCTGTATTGAAATAACGTCTTGGAAAGTGTCTCAACAAGGAAATATACCAATGAACAAAAGGTGGAGACTTGACAGCTTCCCAGGAGGTAGCTCAGATGAACACATACTTTACAGGCACCTTGTCTCTTGCTTTGTTTGCTCTCTCCTCCTTCCTCCTAACCATAAAGCTTCACCGGTATCTTTCCACTTAGAGCTCAGCTAATTATGCAGAGCCTCCTAACAATCCAGGAGAAACCCCCCATGGCTAGAGAACCAAAGATCCAGCCCCAAAGTAAACAAAGAACTCACCCCCACTGGTGAAAAAAAGAGGAGGAGATTTTTATTTTATTTTCTGGTGGTGTTTGTGTTGGTGGTTCCCCCTAAATAGCTTTCCTCCATATTAAAAAAGGGAGAGATTGTGGGATGAGGGCTTTTGGTGGGGGGCCTTCTGTGGAGGGGGGGGGATGGAGGGAAGAAGATTTAGCTGGCTTCCTTATGCTGAAATGGAAGGTTGGGTACTGTGTGAGAATGATGGGGAGGGTGTTTTTCAATAAGCAGCTGCAAGCAACTGCAGGTCTACTCACAAGCAAGCCCTACTGAACTCAATTAAGCTTACTCCCAGGAAAGTAGAAGTAAGTTTAGTTGAACTCAGTGGGGCTTATGCATGCATAGATTCCACTCAAACCTCTGAGTGGGGAAGCAGATACAACTTGACTAGTTAATCACTTGAACAACTCTTAAATTACTTGAAAATATGTTAAATATATTATATGAAAGTTATTATATATATTATATGGAAGTTTATTTAATATTTTTATTAAATTTACTTCTTCCTTAGATTTTAAGTCCCTCCACCACCACAGGGCCTCCTCAGGCCCTCGGTTGTGAGGAAACACGGTGCACGCTCTGCCACTGCGGGGAGGCCCAGCAAGGCCCTCCACCCTGCAGATATATATCGTGATATATTGAGATATCATATTTAGCTAGTGATATATTGTGATGCTGAAACCAGATATTGCCAGCCCTAATGAGGAGCCAGTAATGCATGTAAGAATTCTCAATGAAGCATTGCTTAAACGCAAGAATGGGTTTGAAGTGATGACCCAAGGGTCAGGTTACTTATTCTTTGGTAGTTTTTATGGCAAAATACTTACCACTCTGAAGAGCTTGCGCTGCAAGGGCTGGTAAGAAGTCACTTCCTTTAAAGACCAGGAATACACCATATTTGGCCTCTGCCCCATGCCACTACATGGAGCATCGAGAAGTATTCTGTCAAATGATTCTGGTAAAAATGGAGGTCCTTCTGCAAAGAGGAACATGATCAGTTAAAAAAACTATAGCCAATTTATGTTACATACTTAACTTTGCTACTGTTTGGGGAAATGTCACAAAAGAATTTATTTAAATAGCATGAGCTTGACGTCAGCTTAACACAGCTAAATTGGTATAAACTGCAAACACAGTCATACTGGCCTTGGTTTCAAAGTCTTTATAACTACTGATAAATCACCATTATGTTTGGATATAGAAAGCAAAATGTCCTTTCCCTCCTACTTTCTGACTGAAAGATCTGAGTCACATTTTGTTGCTGCACATGACAGTTTCCTCAAATTTGTATTGCTGGTGTTGAGTGAAGACTGAATTTGTGTGCGAAGACCCACCAAAAAGAAACCTGACCTGCCAACTGCTACCTCACTTACACTTATGAAAGATGCCCCAAATTACCAGCCATTTATAAGTTATATAGGGTTTTTGAGGTTTAAAGGATCTGGATAAAATGGCAAGTCAATATTAACCAACATCCAAATTACACTAAAGCAATAGTAGTCTTAGTCACAACAGGGTCTTAAGATTACTATAAAAATCCTGATCCTCCTCAGAAAACACAGCTACAACAAGAACACCGAAAAGAAAAATAATATTACCTTGCCTGTCCTCTCCTTTGCCAATGGCAAGTGCCTTAGTACCATCATAACAAAATGCTTTAATGCAATTCAACTTCAGTAACGCAGCATTTTGCTTTATCTTTTTCACTTTTTCTGCAGTCTTGTCCAGGGCAATTACTTCTCCCTGAAAAACATGTTGGAAATCAAAAGGGTAGGAATTTATACTTATTTGTTTGAAATCCTTATACCACTCATGTAAAAAAAAAAAAATGGAAAAATGGAATGAAAAATCCTCAAGAGTTCCAAATAAAAACAGTAACACTGAGGAAAACTTCAGACTATACTTAAAAATATACAAAGTTAAAATTGATATCCTCCAACTTTTACATCGAGTGGCTTGTCTAAAGAGGAAATGTTTACAAGCACTGAAAAGAGAACAAGTATGGTAAATACACTCAGGTTACATACGCTTGTTAAAAAGGTAAAGGTACCCCTGCCAAACGGCCAGTCTTACAGACTCTAGGTTGTCCCCATCTCACTCAAGAGGCCGGGCAGCGCTGTCGGAACACTTCCGGTCATACAAAAGTAAAATCGCTGCTCTGGCAGCAGAGCCGCACACGAAATGCTTTTACCTCACGCTAAGCGGTCTATTTACTATTGCACCCGAGGGTGCTTTTGAACTGCTAGGTTGGCAGCGAAGACCGAACAACAGGAGCGCACCCCGCCGCGGGATCAACTCGACCTTTCAATCGGTAAACCCTAGGCGCTGAGCGCTTATAGCGCACCCGCGTCCTCAGACGCTTCAGGTTACGACTCCGCTAACCCAGAAAATAGTAACCTCGGGTTAAGAACTTTGTTTCAGGTTGAGAACAGAAATCGTGCTCTGGCGGCGTGGCGGCAGCAGGAGGCCCCATTAGCTAAAGTGGTGCTTCAGGTTAAGAACAGTTTCAGGTTAAGAACAGACCTCTGGAACGAATTAAGTACTTAACCTGAGGTACCACTGTACAGTGAAAGTGCCTGCTTGATATCAACAGGCAGGGAGTTCCAAAGGGTTCTTACAAAAGTGCAATGGGTATTATGTGGCACCTGCAGTAATGCCAATTCCACCTGAAGCAGTCAGCTGTTGCCCTGCCAACTCCTATCAGCCCCCACTGCCATGGGAGATGGTGTAGTCCAGCAACAACATCTAGAGGGCCACAGGTTTCTCATTCTTTCTTTAACCACTGTTCTGCTTGACCAAGCAGTTACCATTCAATCTGCACATTACACATAAAGCCTTCTTTGTACGGGAATGGCATATTCCAGGAGAACATATAATGTAGTCAGCTCCAGCCCCTTCCAATTGCTTAAATCTTGCGGTTGTTGCTTTTGTTTTGTTTTTTATAACAGCCTCTTAAGGTATCTTTTAAATAGTACAAACGGCTAACTAAAATGTTTATGGGACATGCTGACTTAGCAAACATGTGTTCATTAAAACTAAATCAAATTGATGGAAACAAACAACACCACACATAAACACTTTCCAGTACGAAAATGGTTGTTTCTTTAAAACTTCCAGGTTGTACCTCATGCCAGCAATTTCTCCATAAAGAAAAACTGAACAGTTCAGTAAGCAAAATATGATTATGTCAAGGAGGCTGTCGCATATCACAAATTGCATGGCTCTTCTATACACAACACATGGCTGGCCGTAACAAAGTTTCCCTGCTAAAGAATGCACAGGTCACAACTGGAAGCACATCATGCTACAGCCCACTTGAACTTCCCAACCTACTTGACATTTTATAAACAATCCCTTTTTCATTTGAAATATGATTCATCTAAATGCATACTACCTTATTCCAAATTTCTCAAAGGAGTACTTTTTGTTTCATACATACTAGAACTTACTCAACGGTTTCTTGCAAGATAAAATGTCTCGTAAATTTTCTATGTACTTAGTACTCTTTGCCCTATGTTTCCTCCAGCCAAAATATAAGCATTTTAGTAGACTACTAAAGCTGAATGGCATACAAAAATACACTAATTTAACATGCAGCCGTGCAAAATTCGGCAAAAATGCAATATGGACTTCCATATTTCCTGCTCAGATTCTTAATTTATTGAATACCGAAAAGCTGAACACTTCAGTGAGCATGATACAACTATGTCAAGAAGGCTTCTTTGGGACCCCATGAGAAGCCAAAAGTCAGAGCACAAATTGTAAAAAGGCAGAAAGCAAGCTTTTTGACTGCTGCACTAGGGACAGCTCCTCTCCTTGAACCCTGTTTCCTTGCACCTCAAGCTAGCACATCTATTTTATTTCATGGTTTGATGAGGAGGCCCATAGTGAGTGTGCCAGGATGTAGCAATCTTAGAGGATGCATAACCCCACCCATAACAGGCCGTGTCCCACCCATCCGGTTCAGGGAACCACCCACTGACAGCAGCTTAGTTTTGTCTGGATTAAGCTGCAATTTGCTGGCTGTCAACCAATCCACTACAAAGGCGAGACATCAGTCTAGTACAGGCATGTCCTGTGATGTACCGGCTGATCTCTGGGTTTCCTTGGTTGATCATGATCGTTTGTGGGATCCTGATCCGCCCCCCAAGAAAAAACCTCAACAACTTTGGCTCATCCTTGCCCCAAAAACCTCAACAACTCTGGTCAATCCTCCCCCCAAAAAGCTCAACAACTTTGATGAAGCCTCTGGTCAATCCAATGGGGAGATTACTTCCAGTTTTTTTATAGCGGGAGTAGATTGCAGTCTCTTGGAAGTTGGACATACCTGGTCTCGTACATCCACTGCCACATCTGCAGATGTAAAATGGAAATGGAGCTGTGGACTATTGGGATACCTTCCCTATGTCTGGGCAAAAGACTCTCTGACATATCGGGGCATTTCACTTTGATTGGGCACACAAAAAGAGCTGCTCTTCATCTGCTGACTGATAAAGTAAGATGCTGCCCCAGGTTCCCTGGGCACAAAAAAAGGAATACAGGGGTCTCCTCAGCATGGGCCAACTCCAGCTGTGCTGTCTGTGTATCTCCAAAGTACGTTCTATTTTGTGGGAAAGTGTAAATCCTGGATATTGAAGAGAATGCTCGCCCAGCATTATGCAGTAAATGATGCAACTACAGGAGCCCCACCTCCTCCTTAGTCTCTAGGGATGTGTGTAATTTCCAGATAGAGGTGATGACCTTTGTCAATAAGGCTAGATAGGTCAATTCTGCTCAGAGAAACAATATAGTCTTCTGAGAAGTTCCTCCGTCCTCTCAGCTGCCCTGAGAGCGTATGGCTAAAGAGCAGCATATACATTTCTTTAAAATGAAACAAATAAATCCTGAATACCAATGAGAAAGTGTGAAAAGGGGTGGCCCAACTGTCAGAGGCAAAGAGAGATGACTGGAGATGGGGGAAATTGAAAGAGAATGAAGGAAAGAGGTTTCGTGCTCCCCAAGTTAGGAAAGATGGGTGCCTCTAAGAGATCTAAAGTCCCTTCCTTCTCTTTACAAGCAGAAATTGTCCCTTTAGATTAGCTCCTGCCAATTTCCAAAAGGCACAAGCTGTTAAACTACTCCATGCAATTTAATAACTCAAGTCACAGAATATAGCAGATCGTAAAGCACTCATGATTAACTCATTATTTGATCTTATTGAAAATGGTGGGCCATAATGTCATGTTGACGGATTGGTTACTCAGTACTTTCATTTGAATCACTTTGTTTTTACACAATGAAAAGTACTGAAGTTTAAATGAATTTTAAAAACCAAGCTTCTGCACTAAAAATAGCCCAAATTAATTTGTATTGTATTATTTCTCGCAAGACTTTTCTACTTCCCCCCCCCAATCTATCACATGTCCACCGAAATGAAATCTATTTGTTCGAAATATGTTGTGATAGGTAACCCAGAAAGATTTATCTTTGGTTCAGCAATTCTGCTATGCTGCAAAAATCAGCCAGTAAATCAGCAGTGTGTTCAAATATTAATGGTGTGCTACTTTGAGTTATCTGTGGATCTCAGCAAACGAGTGAAACAAGCCATGCTAATGAAGCACAGGTCAAACTTTCCTCACTGAGACAGAAAATGCTCAGTGACTTCACTTACCTCATCACACATTAATGTTGCAAGATGGGTTGTTTTCCCCCCGGGAGCAGCACACATGTCCAAAATTCTCTGTCCTGGCTGAGGATTTAAAACATAACTCACAACTGAAGAGGGCAAATTCTAGTAATGGAAGAGAAAAAAACTAGGTTTGCTTCAATGATGACCAACACAGGAATATCTTACTTAAAACTAATTCTATTGTTTGTTTCTTCGAATAAAAGGCAAAACTGTACATGTGTGTGTTCTAATTCTGTAAGCAGTGTTCAAAACATTCACAGCATGATTGATTGTAGCAACTATAGACATGAGAAAGGAATACCTATTTTGACAGAAAATGGTATTTCTTAGAAGCCAATACATTATAATCAACCAAACTGATTGAGGCAGCAATCCTAAACACTTACTTGGGGGGTCATTCGATGCTAAATCACCTGATTTTAATACTCGACCGTGCTCTTACATCTCAGATTGTGTTCAAAATATTTTCTGTGTACATACTTACAAGATAACCTCAAATTAATTTTTTAAGATTTTATGGTCCAAAATTGGGCACAGGAGAAAAGTTTCGATTTTTGCATGATTTAGGCTAATGCAATTTCTGCGTCAGTTTAGAAAAAAACCTCCTGTTCCGCTTATTTTTCAACCAATTGGGCTTATTTTGGTATCAAAATCAAGCTAACTTTGGTCTCTTTCAAAATAAGGTATAAAAATGGTATTAAGTGCCACAGAAAAGGGACACTGACGAAAGTGAATGTTAGTCATTTTCTACCTTGGTAGGTTTGATAAGCCATAGTGTGCAAACCACAACTAAAACATGCATCTTACTTTTTTTTGTAGAATGGGCTAACCATGGTGTGATGGGATGATGAGCTGCTTGTGCGTAAAATCCTAGTCCCTCAGAGTTTGGTCAAGTCCGCAAACCTCTGCCTACGACGGAGCCCCTCAAGCATGGCTCCGTCAGTCGCTAGCAGAATCCGACAGTGGGCGCTTACGGAATCTCTTCCAACATAAAAGCTCCTTGACGGAAACACGTCTTCTGGACTCCCGGCGCGACAGTTTCCGGCGAGGAGTGGGTGTCCCTATAGGAGGTCCTGAAACCTCCCCACTGTTTTCGCTGGAAGTGTCTCTGAGCCATCCCTCCGACTCACTTTCCCTCGGAGCTCCTTCTCTCCCCCTGCTGGTTCCCTCTTCAGCTGCTAAGTCTCTCCTAACCTCTGTGAGCCCTTCCACCTCCTGTCCTTCCGATGGCAGTTCCCTGACACATGGCTATGTTTTAAAAATAAGAAGGGTGTATTTGTGGTTATAACATATTTTAAAAATTAAGTTTTATTAATTTAATAAAAACAAAATATGTCTTGGAACGGTGTTCATTTTATTGTGTAAAACACTTCTGCAAAGCTATTTTGTTTCCCATACATGTTATATGGTCAATGATGCTAATTGATTTAAATTAATTTGAGGTTATCTGATGGTTATCTTCACATGAAAATTTTTTGAACAAAATCTGAGATGTGAGAGCACATGGCACCAGGTGATTTGGCGTGGAATGACCCAGGGAGGCTTGTGGAACGTATTTAAAAATCTTCAATTCCAAAACAAAGTGTTTGGATTCTTGTGTTTGGGGAAAACTCTAGCAAACTTGTAAACTTGCACTGTGTTAAGATTTATTTAAAAATATGTATTATGTCTCACTACTTCATTGTATCTCCTAGATAAATGTCAAAAACAGAACTTAAAAGGTTTCTGCTTAATGGGATACACTTCTGCCCACCCTACTGAACATGTGCAAAGCGCAAGATTTAGAGCCCTTGTACAGGAAAGTGACCCATGCATGCAGCTACCAACCAACCAACCAACCAATCAATAACAGCGCTTAGTGCCTATGAATGCCTGGATCTAAAGAGTCCATAGGAGCAGCACAGTGCACAGCTGAAGTGCAGTGTAAGACTCTACACTTCCAGCAGCCCAGTCCCCCAAGCATGTGACAAGATGCTTGAAGGTTTCACTTCCCATGGCATAGAAGTGAGGACACACAAGATGGGGCTTCAACCCCAGTACAGGCTGCAGCAAAGTAGCCTATAGCACAAAACTTACGCTACCTGTTTGGAACAGCATTTCCTCTGGGGCAAGGGCAAAGTAAGTCACCAAATCACCAAATGTATAAGATAACATAATGTGTCTAATTTTACACTAATTGTGCATTTACATTTGTTTCCCAAATTGTCCTACAGATTCGGACCATTTACTTTTTAAATGCACTTCACTTTACTGCAAATCGCTTCTTTCCACACACAACCTACTTGTGTCATCCCTTCAAAAACATCAAGACAATACGCGTTTACCTGGGAGTAAGCCCAAGCAAGTTATACTTCCAAGTAGAAATGCACAGGATTGCACAGCCAATAGATTACATATTACATATTTAAAGACTGGCTGTTATATATACACAGCTAAGTCACATATATAAACACAAATAATTGCATTAATTTTCCATTTAAACATATATACAGAAGAAACTGCTGGTGCCTACGGGCAAAAACACATATTACCTAATAACATACATGGTGAAAACATTAATCAATAATATTGGCTTAATGGTACACAACATTAACAACACAGTGTTCATCAATATATTTTTTCCACACTCTCAGTAATCAGGCAGTATCTGTTTCTCAGCTACATGAGCTTACATGTATATGCAAGTGTTCTTGCATTATAAATCAATTGGTGAAGCATGGAAAATAGGATACACAGGGGGCTGGTATGACATGATTTGATGACACTTTCAGCCAAATTATGTGTATTGTGTATGATTTGACCAGGAGGTATAAAATTCTGTCTGAGATAGTCATCTGTGATCACTTATTCATATACATTCAACTTCTCACCGAATGCTACAAGTGAAGAGCATACATGTGTCCCTTAAATCTTCTAGTTAAGACCTAGTGCAAAGCTGCAGCAGAGCAAACTAACATGCTTTTGCTTCCAATATGGGAGAAAAGTCAACAAATGTTTTGAAGGAGGAGTAGAACACTTGTTTGTGTTCCATAGTTGAAATAATACTGGAAATGTGGGTGGTGGAAATCTGCAGCCACAAAGTGCAATGACAGATAAAACAGAGGTAATTTCTTGTTTCATGACACGTTAAATTTGTCTTCAAACAAAGCAAAATGCAAATTCAACTTGGTGGAACCTATACACACACACAGAGGCCTTTCTTGGGAAACGTAACAAAATCAAACCAAGGTTTCTTATTGCAGAGCTTTCCTTATTGGAAACAATATATAAATAAAGACTTCTGCTTTGGATGCACTGACCACTTTAGATCAACAAGATGAAACAACACAGATCTGCAGAGTTGTGTGTCAGCTCAGCGACCGGATTCAAGGCTTATGTTGAAATGAAATCCCCTCCAAACTTTGTCACTATGTTCACAACCTGTGAAATGGGAGGTGGGGGACGACTTACCAGAGGCATCAATCATGCTCCACATTGCGGACAGGCACCATTTTTCTTCAATGCAAATTCAAATTCTTCCCTAGCAGATGCAAAAGTGAGGCTAAAACAGAAAGGGTGGGAGCAGGAACCAATGCTTCCTGACCGCCCCCCCCCCCACTTTGGTATTTGCTGAGAGGAAGCATGGAAGAAAACTGCACCTAGCAGGATCTGGGACTGTCAACACAATGCTATTAGGACCCATTGGCCGTCAGCACAATCACCACCACCTGGATCATATGAGCATGCGCTAGTGGCATAAAATGTGGGGGAAATACGATTTTTGTAAATCTTTTGTTCTCTCTAAGCCATTTCAAAGCCAAAGCACTTCTCAAAAGAAGTTTTGAATCACCTCTTGTTCAGACCCACTGAAGTCCACTATCGCCCTATTACATCTAAATTGAACTACAGATGAAGCTGTCCATGTAATTTATTGATATCTTGCCAAAGGCAATCAAAAAACAGAATTAGGTAACATTTCACTTCACAGCACAGTGAAAACAGTCCACGCCTAGCTTGTCAGATATAAAATACTTACAGAGCATAAACACATAGGGAAAATCACTATTTTAATTTAATTTCCCCCCAAATAGCTTATTTGCTTAGATGTGAAGTCCAACTGTGTTCAATGGGGCTTAGAATGCAACAGAAAGGGTTGTGACCTCAGAATTCAGAAAGCTATAGTTATTTTTAATATGACTTACCTGTAAAAACAGATAACTCGATAACATTTTGTCAAATGAAGGACTAAGGTAAATTGGTTCTGTCATTTTTATTCCCATCCCTCTGAAAGGCACAATGCACACCGGTAAGAAGAAAAAAAAATCCTGATCTGAATTTCTAAAACTGTATTATACTAATAATCTTTTAATAAAAGATCTGACACTTCAATATAATATTGGCCAGTAATTAAACAGATTCTGATCTGACTTTCATAAACACAAGAAAGAAGGGAAAATTGAAAATTTGCAAGATATACAGTGGAACCTTGGGTTGCAAACATGATCCGTATGGGAGGCACATTTGCAAACCCCAGCGCCACGTCTGTGCATGCGCAAAGCACGATTTAGCGCTTCTGCGTGAGCGCTGAAACCCGGAAGTAACCCGTTCTGGTACTTCCGGGTTCGGCACAGTGCGCAACCAGAAAACACGTAACCTGAAGCATCTGTAACCCGAGGTACCACTGTACTATAAACTCAGCATAAACTTCTAACTTTCTCTCTCTGTAATCTTGGTTTAATGTTTAGTTGCCTCTCTTGTATGTGGACTAGTTGTCATCAGATTTCAAAGCTAATGTGGTGGTTCAGTTCTTAGGATAAAAATGTAAAGGTGGTCTCAAATTATTGCAGTTATACACCCTGACTTACAAAGACACAAATTTGGAAGATGGCACCACTCAGCGGCTTCATGTGGATGTTAAAGAGAATTGTAGAGTTGGAAGGGACGCGGGTGGCGCTGTGGGTAAAAGCCTCAGCGCCTAGGGCTTGCCGATCGAAAGGTCGCGGTTCAAATCCCCGCGGCGGGGTGCGCTCCTGTTGCTCGGTCCCAGCGCCTGCCAACCTAGCAGTTCGAAAGCACCCCCGGGTGCAAGTAGATAAATAGGGACCGCTTTCTAGCGGCAAGGTAAACGGCGTTTCCGTGTGCGGCTCTGGCTCGCCAGAGCAGCAATGTCACGCTGGCCATGTGACCCGGAAGTGTCTCCGGACAGCGCTGGCCCCCGGCCTCTTGAGTGAGATGGGCGCACAACCCTAGAGTCTGTCAAGACTGGCCCATACGGGCAGGGGTACCTTTTCCTTTACCTTTAGAGTTGGAAGGGACCACAAAGGTCACTAGTCCAACCCCCTGCAATGCAGGACGCTTTCTGCCCAAGCTGGGGCTCCAATCCATGACTCTGAGATTAAGTGTCTCAGCCTCTACCAACTGAGCAGTAGCTGTGTTCTATGTTAGAAATTGACCACTACTAGGACTTGTTTCTTCTTGATTCCCAATGTATTTCTTATCAATAAAAAATTCAGTGGCATGAGCAAATTTTTATTCTGAAAGTGTGGCCCAGAGAAAAATACTTTGAGAACCACTGCCCTAGAAGGTGGTGCCTGGGAGATGATACTCAACCCCATGCAGTTTCCAGTGTGGAGTGCACAGGCCTCAATCTTTTTACCCATTCTATGGTCCTTTATAATATGATCATGGGACATCCAGAAAGTATAACACATACATATTATTCTCAAACTTTATTACAATTTCTGACTTACTTCAGTGGGCCAGTAGAATTAAAGATTTCATTTCGGCTCAGTTCAGAAATCCCATTTCCGATGAAAACTTTGCTTCCGAGAAATTCTTTGGCCCCTCTTTTACACTTCCCTTCAATATCAGAGTATACTGAAACAGTATCTCCAGCTTTCATGACTAAGGAAAGAAAGGGAGAACATTTCAAATAATATTTTATTTGGCACAAGAACTCACTCGGGACTTCAAGTAGGCCACATACTTGAGCCCCGACTATTTACAAGAATCTGTTCAGGTCAAGAGTAGCTCTGGAACAACTTCAGTAATGGCTATTCCGCATGCATACTTGGCAACTTCTTCTGTAACTTTTTAAAGCATCTAATCTACAAGGAAGAATAGTTAATACTCAAGTTACTAAAGCTTAGGGACCACAGAGTCTGAGGCAGGGAATGAAATAGATGCAGTGGTAAATGTCTGGTTTCCTGATTTTGTCCTTTCTTACCAAAACCATAGGACAGGATAATCAAGTTTGTTAGGAAATGCATTTCTTAACAACTTCTTTAAATACTGATTACATAACTTATAAACTTCCTCAACTGGAACATGACTCTCTTATAGTGCAAATCTGCCAATTTAGTAGTAGCACCTACTCTTTTACAGAATCCTTTTTACAGAATTTCAGAACAAAGGATGGTAGGGAAATAAGACAATGGCTGCAACTTGCATTCAATCTTACATTCACAACCTACAGTTCTAAACAATCTAGTATTGGATATTTGAAGAGAGATTAACACTTAAAAAGGGTAGCTGCTATCAACTACAAAGTATTATTTTCCATCAGTCTTACAAGATAAGGAAGCGTGGAGGGGGGTGTTACATACATTTTGAAGCAGATATGATTCCTGGAGTATAGACGTGTGCTCCTCGAAGCACCGCATTCCCACACTGTGCACCAACAATAACTTCATTTGTCAACTTTTGTACATCCTTTCTGCTGGGGGCAGGGGAAGGAGAGAGTTAAGAAAAACCAATCAGCACAATTATAATTCACATCTGCTGTTCTCAGCTGCCTTTCTAATACTACTACTGTCCACCTTTTTGGCGAGCTGCAGTATTTGCTGCAGGGACGCGGGTGGCGCTGTGGGTTAAACCACAGAGCCTAGGACTTGCCAATCAGAAGGTCAGCGGCCACATGACCCGGAAGCTGTACGCCGGCTCCCTCGGCCAATAAAGCGAGATGAGCGCTGCAACCCCAGAGCTGGTCACGACTGGACCTAATGGTCAGGGGTCCCTTTACCTTTACCTTAGTACCTGCTGCAGCCGTAGAGTTAGTTGGCCAAGCTGGATTGTATTGCAAGGAAGGCTGAAATCGTAACTCCACTTTTCAGGAAGACACACCAATGAATTTGATGTGATTTACCTCTGAGCAGACATGGGGCTCATTGAGACTTCCTTTTGCGGCACAGGTCCATGCTTCAAAGCTCCGTGTCCAAGCACTATAACAAAAAACCAAAAAAACCCAACCCACTGAATCAGAGCAAACGGCAATACATGGAGAACCCAAATCACTGCTTGTTCTGATTCAGTGTTATGGAGTGGGTTTTCCTGGGGAAAGCGGCAGTGCTTGGATGTAGAAGTTTTAAAGCATGGACCTGTGCCTAGAGAAGGAGGGGCAAAAGGTAAATGTGGATGAGCCCATGGTTAGGCTTCTGCTGCAAAACATTATCAATTTTACAATGACCAATATGCCAGTTCTAAATATTTGCTCTAGCACACATGTTTCCATGCTCCAAATCAGTCTATGAGCCGTCAGAAGATGAAATACAGATAAACTCCATTAAAATTAAAATTCTAAAATACACAGACCTGGGCCCAATAACAGGAATAAGTAAGATGTCAGGAAGTTTTGGATGCCGAAGAACCGGAACAGGAAGACTTGTGTACTGCTACATATGGAAGAAGAAAAAAGTATATTTCTTAGTTTTGGTTAATGAAAAGGATCTGAGTGTTTTATAGCCATTTTATTCATTGACATTATTTATTTGTCATTATTTACTTACTAGGTTTCTTAACATCCTTCATCATGTTGTTTCAGGGCAAGTTAAACAATTTAAAACAGGTTTTTTTAAAAAAACAAAACACTAATATTTCCATTAGACAGAAATGTTTAAGGTCACAATACATTATGGACTCTCTAATATAGCCATAGTGCTAATGAATCAAGATAGTTACAGCAGTGATGGACTTTATTTCAGAATTTAAAAATACAGAGTTATCATTTTTAGTTACTCTTCCTTATACAGGTATGACCAACCCATCCATTTCTATTATTATTAGTGACTACAGAAAAAGCGTGCTGCCTTGCTTCTTCGTTCATGGGTGCACTTAGAAACTGGCACAGATCCAAATCAAACACAGAGAAAAAGAAAAACCCGCAGACTGAACGTGAAGGAAATCATGTTTGCATTTCCCCCCCTTAATTTGCTGCTTCCCTGCATGAAAAACTCCCTGCTCATTAAAAGCTGGCATGGCAAGAAAAGCTTTAGCATGGGCTCCATACTAATGTAACCCTGCTCTTGCCATGCATAAGCTGCCTCTAAATTCCAAACAATCAAGCTACTTATTTGCAGGAGGACAGGGGGCACTTGGATCTTCCTAGGCAGGAAAAAATATTGCAGCATTTCATAATGTCCTGCTACACAGAATCTAAGTTGCACCACTTTTAGTGAATTAACTGATGGCAAGACAAGTAGTAAGAAGACACTACACAGACCTTGTGGATCTCTTCAGAAAGCAGACCTCTTACATCGTCCACAGATGCCAGGTGGGTGTTCACTCGAACAGTTGTGAAAGCTGGTGGATGGGATAAATTATTTAACAGAGATTCATATTTCCGTTCGGCTTCCACTGCACCCAAAGCAGTTAGCAGCTTAAAAAAGAGAAGGAAATACATTAGATCAGCAAAAATAGTGGCTTATACTATAATCCCAGGAGTACAGTATTGTTGATTCAAACTCAAGGCACAAGCCAGTTAAGCCACGGTATATCACGATTGGATAGAATCACACTAAACTATGGTTTAGATAGGTGTAAGTCTAGCCTCTTCCCAGGTGTATACACTCTGCCCCCCTTACCCTCTCAAAGTGGTAGAAGTTCAGAAATTTCCACTTTTAACTATGGTTACTGTGGTTAACATTAAATACAGTTGGTTTAACTAAGCAAGCTTCAGAAACCATGGTTTGAAGTTTGCTTGTTTAGAACCAACCAGAATTAGGGTTAATCACAATTTGTTGGTATGTAAGGATGACATGACAATCCGTGGTTAACCAAAAACAGAAGCCTCCAAACTCCTCCCCTCCGTCATGTTGGAAGAGGAAAGGGTAGGCAAGCCTAGGAGGACACTTGACTTGTTCACGTACTGCGTAACAAAAATTAAGCATGATACCTCTTACAGGCTGCATTAGGGTAAAATGGCAATCCTAAACATGTGTACTAAGATAAAAGTAAATCCATGTAGGATTTGCTATAAATTAAAGTACACATTATTAACCAACTGATGAGCAACAGCCTAAATGGGGAAGAATTTAATGGGAATAAGCAAGCATGATTTATCTTCTGTTTTGTTCAAAAAATCGATTTTGTTAAAATTGTTACCCACCACGATCTTCTGTGGATGGGATGAATGATTTTAAAAAACATTTATTGTGAATATATTTTTTTGCCAAAAAGATTAACCAAACTTCCCTTTGTGCTGGACTGGGAGGGCGGATTCAGCAGAAGTATACCCCCACTGAGCCCTGCCAGTCTCTGCCCGCAGAGTGGCATGGAGCTCTCTCTTCTGTCAACCAAATGTGAAGGAAAATGTAAGTGCCACCAACAGAATCTCTGCTGGTGGACAGTCCTCAAAGGGGAATTCCAGGGAGGGCCTGAGCTGACCTAGGATCCACTGGATCCCAAACCAGCCCAACTGTCATCACGGTAATCCACGTGCTGCCTCCACCCACATTGCATTCTAGCTGGCGTGTGCAACAGGGCTCTATCAGTGGCTCCGTTAAGCTCCGTCAAACAGTGGCGGGGGTCAGAAATCCACCCCAAATCTTTTAACTTGGACATACCAAAATAAGAGAGAAAGTGTGCCTCATTAAATTTTAAAAAATAAATACAGTGGTACCTCGGGTTACATATGCTTCAGGTTACAGACTCCGCTAACCCAGAAATAGTGCTTCAGGTTAAGAACTTTGCTTCAGGATGAGAACAGAAATCGTGTTCCGGCGGCGCAGCGGCAGCAGGAGGCCCCATTAGCTAAAGTGGTGCTTCAGGTTAAGAACAGTTTCAGGTTAAGTACGGACCTCCGGAATGAATTAAGTACTTAACCCGAGGTACCACTGTAAATGACAGGTCTCATCTGAGCAGCTACCTTAGCTGGAACTAAAAGTATTCCTGACAGCAGCCATCACACACACACACTTGTGTACCTCTTCCAAACATCTCCTTCCTTGGATTCGCTTTACGGTATTTACCTCATCGTTTTTAAACGTAGCCCTCAGGTACTCTTCAACCTTTGCCCTCAATGAGATTTTGGGGAAAACAGACATAGTCTTTACTGTCTCCTATTCTTTTTGGAACACATCTGGAGAAAGAAAATCATTTTCACACGAACAATTCAAAACCAAACAAATTCAGATTAAAGAGCTTCATTTATAATCTTTTTCTCCTACATTGTCATAGAATATGACAAAAAATTAAGGCAAGACATAAGTAGACATCGTCAATTCACCAACTTTAACATTCAGCCAAACAGTGCCATTCCCAAAGTGAACGATGGTTTATAGCAGTAATAAGCTGCATTTTGTCTGCTATATGTTGCATCTGGTTGTATCATAAATTATGTAATGTAATGATAATTGAAGCAATAATTTAATATTCTATGAGAATGAGTGGCACTAAATAAGCTAAACGGTCCTGTACAACAGTTAGTATGAAGGAAGCATGAGGAACAAGGCCAAGATTCCAAGCCCATTTTTAAAAATGGCCTGCCAATAATCTTATCATTGCATCCATCTTTTTCCCTCTTGGATTGGCATGGAAATACTCGGGGGCCAGACTCGTCCAGGAGTGAGCAGTTACTAATCGCGAACTTTTTCGGCTGTGTCCACATTTCCATTTACTGTAGCGCACTCGCTGGATTTAAATTGCTGGATTTTTCACCTGTGTTCACATGACATTACCCAAAACGCCTAGACACCCTGCAGTTTACTGGGAAATGCCGCTGCTCGATTTGCTTCACGCAAATTTGAGCCCCTAATTCGCCTCTAGTCGGTGCAAAACAGGCGTGGCGACATTATAATCCGATTTGAAACGGGGAGGGGGGGGCTTTGGAGTACATGTTAAATTCGGTCCCGTGTCCACTTCGCCTCACACCTCTTTCCACCCGTTTTAAAAGGGGTGTGCGTGTGTCCTCGAGGGAGGCCATTTGCAAAGGGCTCCCTTTTCCCCTCAGGAACCGAAAAGCAGAGCCCGCCTCCGTCGCGGCTGCCTCGGATGGGGCGCCATCTGCTGCCGGGCGCCGAGAGCGACCCCGGCGGGGATTGAACACCGGGACGTGGCTTCCCCTCTTCTCCCCGGGCTGGGGCTGAGGCACCGGGGGCCGCCACCCCGGGGGCCCTCATTGCTGTCGTCCTCCCGCGCCCCTTTGCCTACCCCAGCGCCCGAGCAATGCCGCGCCCAGTCCCTGCCTTCGGCCTCCCTCCTGCCCTCATCCGGGGAGGCGATAGGAAATGCCGCCCCGTCCTAGCCCAGCCCCGCCTCCCTCTCATTCTACTTGGGGAGGGGCCCCCTCCCCAGAGCACGAAACTGCAGTTCTTTCGGGTTCCTCGGGAGTAAGCTCCGTTCAGGGTAATGAAGCTTTCGCTCCAGAACGTGGGCGCCCACGGGGGAGGATGTGGTTACCAGGCGGGGAGGGGAACGAGGGAGGCAGTAGCCAAAGACTTGTAACTATTGCGGGGTTGGGAGGTCCCCCCCGCAAAAATAATAAAACCTTCAGTGCCCGCAAAAGAGGGGTGCTTTTCATTTCAACTCCCCACCCCAGCTCACAATTTGCGCGTGTACGAATCGCATCGAAGACCGGCCAACAAGCCGCCCCTCGAGGCACAAAATAGCAGCGGATTAGAATTCATGTCTGGTTTGAAATGCTCATGTGAAGATCTCTAGAAGGGAGGCCAGTGGTTATTTTGCTGCCAGGGGCATGCACTCTGCATATGCTCAGAGCCCTATTGAATGCAGAAATGTGCTGCAACACGTGGTGCGCCCCCCCCCCGCTTATCATTTCCTCCCAGGATGGTACTTGAGCCTTTGTCACAGGAGGGCTGTGTGCCCCCTGCCAGTGACCTATCCAGGAAACTGCATTGTAAGGTGGGGTGGAAAGCCTGCTGGTGGCTCCGGAGAGGTTGTAGTCGACTTATATCATCAACAACCATTTTTGTCAAGGGTCAAAGCTTAGAAGAGTTATAGTCAACATCTGGAGGGCTACAGATTTTGCAGGAAATGTGGATCTGTGCCATTTTTATGGGGGGGGGGTTGATAGTGTGTTTTCCAGCTCCACTCACTCCACCTGGGCTGAGCATGTATTATCAACATAGTTGCAGCATATTTCTGCCTTCTCTCCAGACCTAATGAATATACATGGATTCAAAATATTTTACAGCAAACAGCAAAACATTCAAAAACCAAAATAACCAAGAAGCTCATAATAGCTACTAAAAGTAAAAAGGTAAAGGGACCCCTGACCATTACGTCCAGTCGTGACCAATTCTGGGGTTGCAGCGCTCATCTCACTTTATTTTTCTTTATATGGCATTTATTAACATGACAAAGGCCTTTGACACGGTAAATCGCAATGCCCTGTGGACTGCCCTCTTGAAAATCAGCTGCCCAGCTAAATTGTGAACATCCTTCAGCTCCTCCATGATAAAATGACAGCAACAATCGCAAATAACAATGGCTCTCAAAGTGATTCATTCAGTGGGATCAGGCATTAAACAGGGTTGTGTTATTGCCCCAACTCTTACTTTCATCACCATGATCCTACACTTTGTTGAAAGGAAACTCTCCACTGGAGTAGAAATCAAATCTAACCGATGGAAAGCTCTTTAATCTGAGTAGGCTGAAAGCAAAGAGTAAAGCTACCATAACTTCTAACATAAGAGATTCAATATGCTGAGGACAACGTGTGTGCACACTGAGAGGATGACCTCCAAGCCATCCTAAATATCTTCACAGAAGCTTACAAAAGGTTTGGCCTATCGCTCAACATCCCAAAAACCAAAGTACTGCACCAACAAGCACAAAAAAAACCTTCTGCAGCGCCACAAATCCAACTCAATTGTGTAATGTTGGAAAGAGTCAATCACTTCTCCTACCTGGGCAGTTATCTTTCCACAAGGGCCGAATGATGCCGAAATCCAGCCTCGCCTGACCTCTGCAAGTGCAGCTTTCTGCAGTGTGTTTCAGGACCGGCACATTCACAGGGAAAGCAAAATGCTTGTTTACAAAGCCACTGTGCTACACCTTACTGTATGCTTGTGAAACATGAACCACGTATAAATGCCATCTCCAACGCCTCAAAAGATTCCATCAACAGTGTCTTCGAAAAATGTTACATATCGCTTCGGAAGACAGTTGAACTAATGCCAGTGTACTGGAAGAAGCAAAGAACACCAGTGTCAAAGCAATGATTCTGCAACATCAACTTTGTGGGACTGGTCATGTTTGGATGCCTGATTATCGTTTTCCAAAGCAACTACTCTATTCTGAACTTAAAAATTGAAAGTGTAATGCTGGTGGTCAACAAAAGAGGTTTAAAGACTCTCTCAAGGCAAATCTTTAAAAATGTTTTATAAACACCGACAATTGGGAATCACTGGCCTGCGAGCGCTCCAATTGGAGAACAGCCTTTACCAAATGTGTCATGAGCTTTGAAGATGCTCAAACTCAGGATGAAAGAGAGAAACATGTTAAGAGGAAGGCATGTTTGGCAAACCGTCACCGTGATCAACTCCCAAGAAACCTATGTCCCCACTGTGGAAGTACATGTGGATCCATAATTGGCCTCCACAATCACTTACAGGGTGAGTGTTAAGACCGTGTTCATGGAAGACGATCTAACGCAGCTACGAGTGATCGCCAGAGAAGATGAATCCCAGGGTAATGGCCCTATGCCACAATCCCATGCACATTTACTTGGGAGTAAAACTCACTGAACACAGTGGGATTTACTTGCAAATAAACATGCATAAACTTGTGCTGTCAACAATATTGATAATCTATATAGTTATTACACTTGTTGATGCCTCTGTAATCATCCTGATTCTATTAATACTTGGTGAGGAGAGAAATAATCACATTTCCCTTCTACTATAAGCTTTCTGGGGTCATTCTTAAATGGTTGGCAAGGAAAAATAGGTTAAAAAAGATACTTCCTGAATGCTAAGATCCAAGTTTGAGGCCAAGTGCTCTTTGGTGAGATTTAAAATCACAAAGCATGCAGCAAAGTAAAGCGTTGAAATAAACCCATTTAAAATATGCCCTTGTGAGTTCCTTCCAACGTTTCCCTTTTCCCTCAGCATAGAAAAATCTACACATTTAGGAATGGTTTACTTACAAACTCTCCAAAGGTCAAGTTCATGTGATTTCCATACATCAGTCAGAAAACACAGGCAGTACAACTTGCCTCAGTTACAGTGGTGAATTTTCCTAAATTATTGGTACAGGAACACAACAATGGTTTGTAAGAGCCATCCAGCTAAGATGTAGCAACTACCTTAGCCTCTTCACACACTAAGTTTCTCTGGTAGACAGAAGGCAAACAAAGGCATTGATTACCCCCCACCCAAGGTGAGAGGGAGTGACCTAGCTAAACTTGGCAGGGCAGCTTACTCTATGGCATTAACCCCTTCATGTATTAATTAAACTTAACCATGTTATATGAGGCTGGTTATCCCATAATTCTCTAATTGCAGATTATTGTCTACATGTGTACTTAGGAGCAAATTACACTATAAAAGCTCAAATGTCTTCCTCCGCAGGAGGCCAATTATTAGGACCTAGCAGACTCTATTAAACCTTATTACTACTGTGGCTTCAGGAGCTTCTACATGGCTACCTACACCTTTTCTACATAATCAAATATGCTGACTTCAAAGTGCTGAGTTGGGCGTGGCGTGGGCAGGGGAGTTTACTTGCACAACTGAGCCCTCGTGGAGACTCAGTAGATTACAGTCCGAACTTTAAAAAATAATAATGAAAATAGCCTTTGACCGCCACTATTCTCCATGCGAGTATCTTCGCATTTCTATGGTGATACTCCTCTAACAATCTGCAACGGAAGTCAGAAGTGAAAATCGACTTTAAGCCACGGGGCGCGATATTCGTAATCAGTCCATATATAAAAATCTAACTCCGTGTGGAAAAAACCGGCTGTCCCTGTCAGGAACCTTCTGAAAGGGGAAAACTATTCACCACGGGCGTGGGAAAACAACGCCTCCCTCACGTCCGGAGCGGAGGATGACGTCACTCTCGCGGCCCTGCCCTGCCCCTTCCTCGTCCAAAGGGAAGCGGCGCAAGACCGCAACGATACTAGTCACTTCCGGCGCCTGGTTGAACCAATGCCAACAGAAAAGGCTCGGCTCTCGCGCCCCTCATATGGCGCCGCTCGAAAGAAAAGAGGAAATGAGGTTTCCCACGTAATGTCCGGGCGGGCGTATCAGCTTTCACCGTTTTTTGAGCAGGAGCTGTTGAAATCAATGACCACGACTAAGTCACGCCCATTCCCTGCTCTGAGCACGAAACACCCCGCCCCACACTCTGTAGGTCAAGGGAGGGTGCGCGTGAGAGGGAAACCGCCACCCTAATCCCAGTTTCGGCCTTTCGTCAGCGGCAGCCGTAGAACGTGCGTTTTTCCTGCGGACGCGGTGACGTCAGCGCGCCTTGCGGAAGGGCTCTCGCGTCGCTCCCGTGGTCGAGAACAGGAGGGGGCGGGGCGGGGCTTAAGCCCCTCCCACTTTATCCGCCGCGTTGGCCACGAGAAGAAAGAACCGACGGAAAGGAGGGAAGACGCTCGTCAGCAGCAGAAGAGGAGTAGGAGGCGGTCGGCGGTTTCTGCTGGCCAAGTCGGGATGGGCTTGATATTTGCCAAGCTGTGGAGCCTTTTCTGTAACCAGGGTGAGTAGGCTGGGGCACCTGCGCCGCCGCTACCGGGGCTGCTGCTTTTGCTGCTCCGTGTGGCATTTTTGCCGGGAGGGGTTCGTCTCGGGGCGGGGGGGGTATTTCCCGGGCTGCCCTTTAACGGGGGGGGGGGTCGGGGAGCTCGGTTGAGGGAGGGCAGCAATACCGCAGAGGAAGGGAGAGGGTCGTGATCCTGAAGAGACCTGGGGAGATATCTCACTTGTGTCTGTAACAATTAGGGCTTTGCATTGGGTGGGAAGCGGGGTATTTATTGAGCCCTTTCTCCCAAGGAAGGAGGGGGCATCGTCCATGGTTCTCTTCCCCTACCCTCCCGCCGTATGCTCACAGGAGCCCTTGGAGGTAGCTGAGGCCGAGAAGGAAGAAGTGTATGACTGGCCACTCGGGGTCTTTTTCTGCGGGGACTTGAACTTGGGTGTGTGTGTGTGTGTGTGTGTCCCTCTTGGATCTCCCATGTTACGGAGGTGTACGAAAAAGGCGTTGGGAGAGGGGACCGTTTTTAGTTATTTTGACAGGGCGGAGTAACAATACGGTAAATACAGTAATATGGGGGAAATGGTGGGCTGAGAAAGGAAGGGACTGTGAAAAGTTAATACAGTAAAGTTGGGAAATTAGGGGAGAGGAGGCCACTTGCTGTGAGTAGGAGCATCCTGTCTGTTTGACCAAAGGTGTTTTAATATAAACAGGGCAACAAGGACTGGTTTTGAGTCAGCGGGAAGGTGAGCTGGAGAAATAGGTATGATGAATAACAAGGGTGAATAATGGGGAGGCCAGGAAGTCAATTAGCCTGTAGATTGTATGATGCTAAGTGCCAGCACATTTCAACCAAATTCAACTGGTAGTATACAGAACCTGTGAACAAGAATGTGGCAAAAAGTTAAAGTTGGAGTTTGAGTTTCCCCCCAAATGTAAAGAAATTCCATGAGTTCCTCAGCCTTGGCTGTTGGTGAAATCTGTGCAGGAAGTAATAAATTTGTGTTAAAATGTTGCAGTGTCTGTAACAACTTGCGAACCACCTTCTTTCATTTTTCTTTTGTGTATCTTGAGAAAACACTCTGTTGAATGCATTTGCAGAGAACAGTCATATTGCCAGCTGATCATTTTTCCTTTTCTCTGTTCAAATTTGCAAGACGTATATGCTTTTGTCTAATCTTATTTTAAAAGCTTTGCCCGCAAAATAAATGCATCTGTGTTCTCCAAGGCATGGTGGTTACTGTTTTTATACAACAGCAATCTGTTTTAATTTTAAAAACTCCAGCAATGCAGCATCTGCCTTGCATTCTTTAAGCTAAAATAGCATGCCAGATATATACACAAAGAAGCCATTCTGATGTCATTCCTAAGGTGGGGGGGGGGGTTGCCATGCAAAGCTGCCTTAGTGCATTCCTTTCTTAATGGAATACCTGTTAACATTTTATGAGGCATAATCAATAACTCCACTACCTTGAAGGTACTTGTCAGGGGCTCAGGGACAGAGCCACAGGGGAGAGAGGAGATGGAGAGCGAAGGGGAAGGATCTGAGGGGAGCGTAGGAGGGTATGACAGTGACCCGGGAGATTCCATGAGCCTCTCCAGCGAATCAGAAGATTCCCAGAAGGAGGCGCCCAGGGTCAGGGCAAGGGGGGCCAGCGGCGAGTCTCAAAGCGGCAGCTGGAGATCAGGGCCAGCTTCCCCACCAGAGCGTAGCGGGGGGGAAGAAGCCCACAGATCAGGACCAGCGTCTTCTCCAGCAGGGAGAGAGAGTGAGTCAGGACTGACCACGCCTCCGTCGGAGAGTGGAGGAGCGGAGGGGAGGTCAGTTCCAACCAGCCCCCCCGAAGGGGGAAGCAGTGACAGGAGCAGTGTAGCCGTTAGGAGGAAAGTGGCCGGCTGGGCGCGCGTGCCAAGTTCAAATGTGCAGGCGCGCGGGACAGCAGAAAATCCGGATTGGGAGCCAGGTCCCAAAGCCCACCAGAAGCAGGGGGAGGAGTCAGAGGAATCCGCGTCCAAAGAGTCCAGGAGGGGCGAGACCCCAGCGGGCAGGAGGACCCAGAGGAGAAAGGAACAGAGGAAGAGGTGGAGCAAGGCGAGAGTCTTAAACTGGTCTTGGGGGGAGGAGATTCAGACGGAGCTTCGCCGGTCTAGGGATTCAGACGTAGGGCTGCGCGCCACGGCTGTCAAACCAATAACGAACTTCAATAAAGACTTCTGTATATAAAGAGGAACTGGCGTTGGTCCTTTGTGAGCTGGGACCTGAGGCAGCTCTGACAGTACTGAACAAAGAATTCACACAAACATACATTGTTTTAATTACATGGTGTTGATATTGGACCTCTGAGCTAAAGAAACTAACAGTGGTTTCATGTAACGAGATTGATGCAACAGCTATCGTGCAAGACTTGCTCATCCCATGGATGTGTGCAAAACCTCTTGCCCTAGTGGTTCGCCACCAGGGTGTGATGAACTTCATGAGGTGTTTTCTCACTTAAGACCTGCTGCTTGGATTTGCCACCATGTAGAAACACTCAGCTTCCATATGCAGACCTAATGTCCGCACCACTCTTAAACTACTGCCAAAAACAATACCTGCTTGGCAGTAGTTTATTCTGTAATGGCTTCATTGAAAGACTGGTAAGAATAGCGGAAATGGTGTGGAGAGCAACAGTGGTAGGTTGTCTTAGCAATGATACATCTTTGCAAGAATTGCATTGGGGAAAGAGGGAAGGCCTCTGAGCTTGATAGCTCACAATCTTACCTTTATCATGGGCTGCTGAGGCTTGGAAAGGTAGACTTCCAAGGAGCTAGTCTTCACTCTTTATTTGCCAACTTTGTCTTGGTTGGTAATGAGCTCATGGGCTTCTAAGTAATTCATACTTGCTTTTCAATGACACCTGTTGACTTTGGAAAACAGCCATAGAGGCATCATTGGCTGTCAGAAGATCACTGTTGTTTTCTATCCTAGATACATCTTCCAGTCTTTGTGGGGAGGGAGATGTTCAACATGTTTGGAGTAACAAGGATGGGGCGGGGGCTCAGATCTAATCGCAAAACACAGCAAAATTAATCTATGGTGAGCCAGAAAAGACTTGGGTAGACGGGATTGAGTTCTTGAAAATATGGGTAGAGGTTGTCTTACCTAGTTGTATATGGGAAATTCTTATTGATAGCTATCCAGATGGGCATATGAACTACTACACCAAGAAAAATCTAGAAGCATCATTGTATTACACTTTCATATCATCTATGGCAGTGTTTCCCAACCGGTGTTCCGCGGCACACTAGTGTGCCGCGAGAGATTGCCTGGTGTGCCGTGGGAGGGAGGCGGGCGAGTCGGGCGGCGAGGATCCGCGTCGAGCCGGGGATGGCTCCGCGGTGGTGGTGCCGAGATTTCTCTCTCCATTCTCCCCTCACACACACACACAGGAAATAACACAGGATCAGCTGACAGGACCCGGCCAATGGGGCGGCGGCGGGGCAGCGCGCGCAAAAGGGAGGAGCGCGAGACAGCGGACGAGGAGGAGGCCGGCATGTCCGGGCAGCAGCAGCAACAACAGCAGCAGCAACTCCCGGCGACGGCTCCTCAAGCCCCGGGCAACCCTACTCCCTCACCGGCCTCGGCCGCCCTCCTGCTCCACCCGCCGCCGCCTCCCCCGCCGCCGGCGGCCACCTCGGCCCCGCCGCCGCCCCCTCCTCCGCCCGCTATCGCCGCCACCACCACAACAGCCACCTCCGCCTCAGCTGGGCCCATGCCTGGCGGGAGCGGCGGCGGCGGCAGCAGCAGCAGCGCCCCGGCGCCCTTCCCTCACGGTGGCGACCCGGCCCTCCCCCCCCACCCCCAAAGCTTGGAGGTTCCCCGGCAAGGGGGAGGGGAAAAAATTGAAACTTACACTTTCGTGCGTCCCTCCCGGCGTGACGCTGCGCGCTGACGTCACGGGGCTGTAATGGTGGTGTGCCTCGAGATTTTTTTCATCAAACAAGTGTGCCTTTGCCCAAAAAAGGTTGGGAAACACTGATCTATGGTATGTGATAACCTCAAGTTTACAGCAGCTTACAACTGTTCACTATTATGTATTGTAGAACACAAAGTAATAATTGTGGGCCTTGACAATGCTGGAAAGACCACCATTCTATACCAGTTGTAAGTATTTTAACAAGATAACATTCATTCCTTCAGATATGATACTGTTCACAATTCAGCCAACACTTGGAGCAGGGTTTTTAAGCATAAAAATAACTTGGGACAGCCTGTCTGTCAAAATATTTGAAATTATCCAGCTTCAAAAGTCTAGGAATCCTGTTGTCTTTGAAGCTTGAATTTTTTTCAGGATTGAGCAGATACATGGAAGCTTTCCTATGATCTTCCAGTATGTCAGACTCTCTAATTATGACTCATTCATAAATGCAGAGAGTTCATCAGCCATCAGTCAGCCCAGCTATTACCATTGGTGGAAGGATAAAATCTTATGGCTGACCTATCACCTACTTGGGTTACAGTATAATGTTGGCAATACAATGTTGCTTGAAAGTATTACTTCACTATAGTGCAGTAGCTATTATAACTGTCAGAAGCTGTGGCTATAAAACTGGCAAACAGGTAGCTGGCTGATACTGCTTACAGGAAGATATGGAAAACCATTTGGTAGAATCTTGCTAGTTATCAAATAGCTTTACTAATCTTGTTACATATAGAATGCTTTGTATTATGTAACTCTAAGCAGGGTGGATAAAAATCAATGATTTTTTTATTTAAATCAATTTTTTTTTAAAAAAAGGATTTAATTTTTAAAAATTGCTTTTGGAGGAAAAATCTTTCTATTTAAGTTACATTATAGCCCAAGGCTATTCATCAGGAAATAAAGATTTGTTTAAGTTTTTCATGTATGCTAAAACTCAGCCTAAGTTTATTTAAAAAAAGTTTAACCACATCAGTTAAAAAACATGGATACATATGCTATAATGTCAATGTTTTAGTTAAATAAATTGTTATTAAGGAAATGATTATTTTTCTCCTTCCAATAAAGTACAGGAGAATAGTTGTCCAAATGTAAACAGTTAACTTATTAAACCTCACAATAATTATTGGTCTATGTATTTCTAATAGTATAAATCAGTAATTTTTGATATAACTGTAAAAACTACTCTGAAAATTTATTATTCCAAAAATGAAACCCTTATCTGGTTGTAAATATTAAGATTATACCAGCAAGAATGAGTCTTTCTGTAAAAAAATAAAAAATGATTTAAATCATGATTTAAATCGATTTGATTTAAATTAAATCCACCCTGACTCTAAGGGTGCATTATAGAATGCAGTATATAATTGCTTACCATCTTACTGAAGGAACAGTTAACTTCCTCTACATGGTTGTGCCCAAGGATATACAACCATCTTAATAAAAGGTAAGGTTGTTAACACAGTTAGCTGGCAGCTCTCTTTGATCACAGATATACCTATTCATGATGAGAGGGAGCTGTGAGCTCACTACCTGCCTTCCAGATCATCAGAATTTTCTTAAACAGTTACATGCATACACCGTGATCATATGGAAGAATTTCACGAAAACCTAAAACCTTTTTCTCAAGAGCTTAAATTTAAGTAAAAATAAAATTGAGCATTTTTCAGATTGAGCTATTTTCTGTACAATCTTCTTTTAATCCAAAGACAGGAATTGTTCTATGATGGCATATTTCTGTATGGATGACCTTGATAAACATACAACTTTTTCATCCCCTTTAGCCTAATGAATGAGGTGGTTCACACTTCTCCCACTATAGGAAGCAATGTTGAAGAAATAGTAGTTAAAAACACCCATTTCCTCATGTGGGATATTGGAGGACAAGAGTCTTTAAGATCGTCCTGGAATACCTATTATTCAAATACAGAGGTATGTTGATGTTGTTCTTAATTTAGGCAACCCAAAAGACCCAGGACTGTGCTGGCAAATGTGTGTGACAATTTCCTGAGGGTTCCATCCACCTTGGCCCACGAGGCTTAAAACAAGATCCGAGAGAGAGGAAGGGAAGTAGCTGAGGAGAAAGCAGTAGAAAAGTTTTTTTGTATTAAACCTCTGAAAGGCTTTTCAGATCATAGGAAGTGCTCCCCCTTCCTTGGCCCACCATAAGAATGAGCTCTTGATGTTGATCTCTGGTAAATATGAATGACAGGGTTGAACTGGGAAGCATTCCTGGCTCTTTCTAGTGTGTGTGGAAGCAACAAGGGTCCAGACACTGCTCTTGTTGCTATTGTCATCTTGTTTTATTGAGCTCACTTTCCCTGCCCTGTACTGCCTCAGATAGCAGTAGGAAATTAAAGAATACTGTGTACAGGGGACTTCCCACTTACACAGGGGTTGTGTTTCAGGCCCCTGCCCCCATTAGCAAAATATGTGTAAGTAGGGAGCTTGAAAGTTTTTTTTGAGTGGCTGTGTTTCCCCTCCCCCTTTTGTTTGGAAGGGTAGGAGCCAAGCAAGAGTGATCTAAGGGGCAGCAGATACTCCCTTTCTCCCCCCTCCTCACCCTCAGTCTCACCAGGAAAGGCAGAGAAGCCGCACAGCTGAGCCCACTGCAGGGAACGGCTTCCTGTCCATCAGTTGTTGAGCAGGGTGGCACAGCAGCAGAGAGGATTTTGCATGCCATTTTGGGTTCAGCGCTGGAGCCTGTAAGCTTTTACAGAAACCTTTTTTGCTATCCACTTTGGAAACAGAATATGTCCCCCGCCCCCCACAGAAAAGTATCCACAAGCTCTGTGACCGCAGAGAGGCTGGGAAAGTCGTGCAAGCGAGACCTGCTGCAAAGCGTCTTCCCTGCCTCTTAGGTGATGAGCGTGGTAGCGCAGCAACAGCAGAGGGCCCTGCATGCCTTTTTCGAGCCAGCTTTTGAGCCCTGCTCCTTCATAATCTAAAAGAAAAATCCCTCTTCAGGCTCTAGGGAGGGTCTCCTAGCAAAACACGAGGGCTCTCTAGCTCTCTCTCACCATTTCCAGGTTTGAATCGCAACATTTATTTCCCAGTGCGCAAGTTGAACACATGCTGGCTACTTTTAGCTTTTTGCCCACCTTTTCCTCTTTCTTTCCACAGTTTATTATCCTTGTAGTGGACAGCATTGACCGAGAGAGACTATCTATCATAAAAGAAGAACTATACAGAATGTTGGCACATGAGGTACAATATTCTATATTCTGTGTGTATTCTAAGAATACAATAGTTGGGACACGAAGCATTGCCCAAAATATTACACAAGTTGAAATTGGCAGAGCCCCAAGTTTTGCTACATCCCATACAGTGTGAAAGATTTCTTGCCCCTCAGGAGCAGTTTTTCAAGAAATGCAGGTGGCTGCAGTAGATAGGGGAGAGGGGGTTGGAAGAGAAGAAGGCGGGGTGGGGGTGGTTCCCTTATGTAAGTCTAGTGCCTTTTGCTTCGAAACAGCATATTTGGATCCAAGCTATTCTTTTTAAAAAATAGCCACAGAAATGAAGACATTAGCTAATCTCCACAATCCTATGCATGTTTACTAGGCTTTTGAGTTCAGTGAGATTTCTACCCAGGAAATTGGGTATGGGATTGCATCCTAATTGGGTTTTTTTTTAAAAAGTCTAGTACTTGTCTCCATATACATCATAATGAATTCTGATTTGGTTGGCTTTAACTGAATGTGTTGAGACTGGTGATAAGAGTTGATGCTTTGGAAGGGGAAGTGTAGCAGGAACAAATCTACAACCTATGCTTATGGAGTTGGCAGAATTGCAACAAAAGCAACCTTAAATATACTAGAACATATAGTGGAAAATATCTATTTTTGCTTTCTTTTTTAAAAAAATCAAGGATTATGTAGCTGTTAGGGCCATGGAAACATAAATTTTCTAAATACACGTCATTTACAGGATTTGCGGAAAGCTGCAGTTCTCATCTTTGCAAATAAGCAAGATATGAAAGGCTGTATGTCGGCAGCTGAAATTTCCAAGTACCTCACCCTTAGTTCCATAAAGGATCACCCATGGCACATTCAGTCCTGTTGTGCACTAACGGGAGAAGGGTAAGTAGTCATAGTGTTAAATAAATGCTTGTGTACAGAAACTGGCAACTTGTCAGAAAGTATTCATGCTCGACAGGAAGCCATGGATTAGCACAGGAATAACCAATGTGCTGCGCTCCAAACGTGTGAAAGCTAGAATGAGCCCAAGCAAAACCTCAGGCTCATGTGCCCCTCCTCCTGATCTCGAAAAATCAGACGCACAGCTCCCACCCCATCACAAATAGAAGCGTCTTCCACTTGTGCAACCACCCCTTTGGATTAAATCCAATATTGGGGTGGATTCCCTACTACAATTCCCATGCAATATCACCTGCTTGCTGTGCCATAAACTTCAATCCCTCAAAGTATTCCCAGATAGCTTTCAGAAAGACCTTAAATTACCAATGTGCATTTGAACACACAATTTGTCATAATAATAGAAGTGTGTGGTTTTTTCCAGCAGCACGCTCACATTTATTTGATTCAAAATATTTTATTTAAAAAAAACGTTTTGTAAGATGGTTTTAATACTTTGGTAACATTAAGTAGAGAAAAGCAAAATCTGTACAATTGGTGACACTTAGCATAGTGATTTTGCACCCTGTATGTTTATTATTAAGACTTGGGTTTTCTTCCCCTTTTTCAGATTGTGCCAAGGCCTGGAATGGATGACTTCCCGAATTGGAATAAGATAACTTCTTTTCTGGAGTCAAAGTGACACTTACCTATGGACAAACTCCTTTGCGGTACACTTGGCTGCTGAGGCAGCGACAAACTTAACTTAAAACTTCTGAAACCTCCACAAGCAACACTTGAATCAAGTGCAGCTGAACTTAAACTCAAAAGTATTTTTTAACATTTTTAAAATGCACTAATCTTGGATGGATGAACAAGTGGGACTATATGAAAGCTCTCCTATATAAGCTAAATGACTGCCTTGTAACAATTTGCCATTGGAAATGCTCCTTATTCTTGCTGCTTACAGTAATCGCCTCTAACATAGGTCGGTCTCCTTCCTTTCCTGTTTCTAGGAACAATTAGCTTTAAGAATCCCAAGGTTATGGGTACTAAAGACAACGTGATTCCAGGTGATCGGAGTTCAAATATTGATGCACACTACAGGAGTTCTCTAACATTGAAAGTTATTTATTTGCTGTTGTTGCCTTTTTGTTTATGTATTGCATTTTATGACTTGGTGAACATATACCTTTTTTAAAAGAAAAAAACTTAAATTGACTGCTAAGTGTTTTATATATTCGGTTTACCTGAATTTTTTTGTTTTTATTTTTGGTAAATCAGTGAATACGCTGCATGTTGGCAAGGAGGACAAATTGAGTGCATTGTGTTTTAGCAATGCAAGTTTAAATAGGGGAAAGTGTTCAAATAAGTGGAGGTATCTCTTCTCTAACAATATTGTCTCGTAACAGTACGTGAAAGCCAAACATTCAGCAGTTGTATTTGTTATTTTCTGTATTACCCAACCTTCATCCTTAAGGTGCCAAGGAGCATTGCAACAGTTTTAAATAAAGCATTAAAACGGCTCACAATCACAAAAATAGGATGGGTCCTACGAAGTATACATCTCAGGGTGTCAAAGGCAGATAAAGAGTTATGTCTTCTGCCCCAAAAATGTATAGTGAAGGAAGGAGGGAATTCCACAACTTGGGGTCTGCCACAGTGGATGTGCTCCTGTAGGCCACTGCACCCCTGAATATCTTAGGGTGGTTTAAGTACGCCTCTGCCAATCTTAACATACAAGAGGATCTGTAGAGGAGGAGGTGGTTTTTCAGATATCTGGGCCTGAGTTGTTCAGGGCTTTAAACACTTAACATGAGCACCTTGAATTGGACCCGGAAACAAACTGGCAAACCAACACAGCTGTTTTTAAGGTGTTGTGTGAAATCTAAATGAAACCTCAGCCATTAATCTGGCTGCTGCATTTTGGACCAGTTGTTTTCAAGGGCAGCTGCACATAGAGGCCATTGCAAGGATCCAGTCTGTAAGTCACTAGAACATGGAGTGCAGTGGCCAAGTCATTTCTGTGAAAAAGGGACTGTAGATGGCGAGCCCTTGCCACTGAGGCCTCCAGTAATGGGTCTGAATCCAGGAACACACACCCCCCCGACTGTGGACCTGCTCCTTCCAAGCAAGTGCAATCCTTTGGAAAAGCCAAATTTTTCTGGGTATTCCGCTTGTCAGTGAAGTTCTACAATCGGATTCTGGATGATTGTGGCACATAAATCATTTATTTGAATTATGTCTGTAAAGTATGCACACACCTTGAAATATGAGGCCTAGCTACATCTCCGTTGGAGAGAATTAGAGCAAAAAGTACGCTTGAAAATAACTACTCTGTTGGCACAAATTGAACTAGCTTTTCTGCAAAAAAGCATTAACTAATGCATTAAAGTGGTTTGCTTTGTCGTCGTCCCCACACCAAGAAATCACTGTAAATTTTTCAGTAACGGTTTTCTGTGGTGTTTTTAAATACCATCTTGTCTGCCTTCTATAATGTCAATTGATTCCCCTCTCGGTTGTTTTCTGTCTTAAGGCAATGCTGGTAATGTATGTGATCTGACACTTAGCATTACGTGAAAGCTCTTGTATTCAGTGTTTCCCTGAAATGCCAGACAACTTCAGAGGCTGCAGAAGAGCTGCCCTTTGTGGCTTAACCTGTGTGTGGATTGGGGTAGAAATACTGTATTGCAACTGGGGCTGAACTGAATTTCCATTGGGTTCATTTTCTCCCTGTGAAGGTGACATACTTTAGTGCACACAATTTTTTCTCTCCAACCCCCAGCCCCCCCCCCCCCCCCGCGCGCAAATGGTGTTCTGTAAGAAAAGATCTCCTCACACTTTGGAATTGTCATCTCCCTCAGCAATTCAGTTTGAAAGCAATTGTTATTTGCCTCTGTTGTTGCAATGTGTAAGGGATGAACCCTCATGCCATTTTGCCTTCTTTCTGTTCAGCCCATAGCATGCCAAGCAACGGTACAGTAGCTTTCATCACTGGGCTTGTCAAAAAAACATGCAGTGAGATCTGGGCTTTTTTCTCTTAATGGTGTCAACTCCTTTGACTTGCACTGTCGAATATAGGCACATGTTCCTGTAAAATTAGATGTGCAATGTTATATTTGCTAAAGGCCAAGAGTTAGAGGTATAAGCTAAGCATCAAACTGAAGACCTTTGTTGGGATAAGATTAAGCTGCCTTATATGTGTGAAGCTCCTTGTTCCTGTAGCCCAGTATTGTTGACTCGGGCATGGGTCTTTCTCATCACCTGCAACCTATTCCTTCTTTAAGCTGGAGGTGCCTTGGGCTGAATTTAGGACCTTCTGCATGTAAAGCATGTATTCTGTTCAGCTATGGTTCCTCCCAGTGTACGTTTTCATATCTATTGAAATATATTTAGAACTTTTTTCTTAGCATCTTAACAAATACATTTCAAATGAAGTCTATTTCTGATCTTAGTCCCTGGTCATTAAAAAAATTCTTCAGGGATGTTTGTGCTTAAATTGGAAGAGATTTTTCTTTACTGCTACTATCTGTCTGTTGAGAATACCATGATTTTTCCAATTTGCCCTGCCTTCTTCATCTTGGCTTTGCTCAAGAGCTGCACAGGAACTGTGAATTTACCATTAGGCAAGGAAGCATTCAGTGTTTAATCTGTACTTATGATGCCACAGGGTTTGAAAAACATAGCCCTTTTTGTCCAAGATAATGTTTTGTCATTTGATCACTCACATGGAAGTGTGGTTTATCAATCTTGTACACTTTTTTATAACAAATGATCAGCATGGTATTGCATTGTAATTATTTTGTTGGGGTGAATTAAAGTGCTTGGCTGTGTAAAGCAAGACTTATGTTTTTTACACTTACAAATACTGCTAGCAGTGAGTGCAATATTTACTCTGAAAAGGGCAAGAAGGGAAATGGGGACTGATTTGCCAGTAAAAGAGCTCTGCTAGGGGGCATATGTACAGTAATTTTACATGCATGTAAGCTGGCTCTTTGGACTGGAACCGGTGCATCTATTTTTAACTTTGGTGTGTTGCAATTTGAATATTTCAACGGCGAAAAATTAGTTGCACCATTTGAATTGAAAAAAGAACACAGAACCAGCATTAAGGAAAAAAACGTGATGAGGGAGAGTGGAGATGAGTGCTCTAGCTGCACCCCAGTGCAGCTGCCCTCCATGAATTGGAGGGATAACTTCTAAGAACATAAACACCTTGCTGGATCAGGCCAAAGGCCCATCTAGTCTAGTATCCTGTTTGCACACTGGCTATGTGAAGCCTGCAAGCAGGACATGAGTGCAATGGTGTTCTCATATGGGAATATGTCTGATCTTTTAAAGACTATCCAAGTTTGGTGATCGTCCCTACCTCTTGTGGGAGTGGATGCCATAGAAACCTGCTCTATTCTGGTAGGGTCCCTGTGATTCCCGTCCCCATGATTATGCCTCCAACTTGTGAAGGGTAGAAACCAGTGGTGGGTAGAAATAGCATACTAATCCTTACTCTTCGCCATCCCATGAGGGATTTAGATTGTCTGGCTAGTCCAGCAAGAATGCCCTTGTGTGATAAAGAATTAGCCTACAGTGCTTAATTAGCAAAGCTTCTCTTTAGAATACAAGCTTTTGTAGAAATGATGCTTAGCTTGTAAGCTGGACTTAGACCATTGGCCCACCTAACTCATTATTGTCTACACTGGTGGGTAATGGCTCTCCAGGGATTCAGATGAGGAGCATTCCCTGAAACCTTCTGTATGCAAACAGATGCTTTACCACTAATGCTCTTCTGCATACCACTTTTTCATGGATCACTTGGTAAAATTCTGGAGCACATCAGAACTTGACCTAAGAATGTGTTTGAAAAAGGGTATTTTTCGTCTTTTCTTTTGAAAGAGTGTTATGGTTTTATTTTACACTGCGTATGTCAGAAGGTGTTTTCAAGAGCTAAAAGGTAAAGCTGGAGAGGTGCTATATCCAAAATGTGACTTACACATCTCTGAGTAGTCCAGAAAACTGAACATGTGGGACCTTAAACTGATCCTTTCCCTGCAGGGTGGATGAAGGACCCTCTAGCACTCACTTCTGCTTCAATTTATTTTGTAAAGTTTAAGGTTTAGAGTAGCTTTATCTGACACCCAAAAAATTAGTATAAACTCTTCAATTCCAGCAAGGCAGCATGAATTTGCCAGTTACTGCAAGTGCTAGTTAACCAACTGCCATCTCAGGTACGTCTTTAGAAGGAAGTCATACTTCGTTCAGTGACACCCTCAGGTAAATGTTTGTGCTTTCACAGCCTTAGTCTTTACACTGGTAGCAAAATGACTGCCTGTGCTGTGTTCCATGGGACAATGTGCTGTCTCAGAGACAATTCTACATATTCAAGCAACCTTTCCCCATGAGGTTAATGGAAGTGAGTTGGCAAGACACTCTCAAGGCAAATCTTAAAAGAGTAATATAAACACCAACAACTGGAAAACACTGGCTTGTGAGCGTTCCAGTTGGAGAACAGCTTTTACTAAAGGCATGCCTTCCAAACTCTCACCATGATCAACTCCCACCTGGAAACCTATGTCCCTACTGTGGAAGGACAAGTGGATCCAGAATTGGCCTCCACAGTCACTTACGGACTCACTGATAAGACTGTGTTCATGGAAGACAATCTTACTTGGCTATGAGTGATCGCTGAAAAAGAAGAAGAAGAAGAAAGTGATTTGGTGCCTACACCGCCAAGCCCAGCTAGAGAGACAGAGTGGGCGCTACTAATTTGCATGCTGTACCACAGATGCTGTTCCTCTAGCTGTTGATACAACTACTACTCCTCCTGCCGCCGCCATCTTCTCCTCCTGGCAAGCTCCTGCCACTGCTTGCTTAGCTCATCCTGCCTGCACACATACACAAAGTTCCTATTTCCCCCCTTTCCATCTCCACCAGGTTAGATGCAAAAGGCCAAGTAGACAAATCAGTCTACTTGGAAAGGTCTGCCAGTGCCATGCACAACACAACTGGGGATGGAGCAAGAGAATTGGCCCTCCCAATGATCAGCAATGACCTACGAGGGCAAACAACAGACCACTTGGAAGGATGCTTATGTCACCTCCATTGTTTCTGGCTTCTAATGTAAGAGCCCTTCTCTTCAGCAGTCAGAAACACTCATGGCTGAACTTAAGAGCAGGCGGAGAGATGAGAAAGGGGTATTTTGGACAGTGAATCAACATGGAGAATCAGGAAACATGATGTATGCAGAGAGGCCCTATAGCTCAAGCACCCATGCTTTTGGAAAAAAAGAAGGTAAAGGACTCCTGACAGTGAAGTCCAGCCACGAACGACTCTGGGTTGTGGTGCTCATCTCACTTTACTGGCCGAGGGAGCTGACGTTTGTCCGCAGGCAGTTTTTCCGGGTCATGTGGCCAGCATGACTAAGCTGCTTCTGGTGAAACCTGAGCAGCACACGGAAACACCGTTTACCTTCCCACTGGAGCGGTACCTATTTATCTACTTGCACTTTGACGCGCTTTCGAACTGCTAGGTTGGAAGGAGCTGGGACAGAGCAACGGGAGCTCACCCCATCGTGGGGATTCGAACTGCCGACCTTCCGATTGGCAAGCCCTAGGCTCAGTGGCTTAGACCACAGCGCCACCCGCGTCCCTTTATGCTTTTCAATACAGGAGCCCTAAAGTTCAATCCCCAGCATCTCCAGGTGTAAGGATCAGGTAGCAGGTGATGCGAGAGACCTTTATCCAAGGCCCTAAAGAGCTGCTAACTGTCAGAATTAGACACATAGTCTTAACATCGCATAAAGCAGGTGCCTGCATTCCTGTTCTCTTATCAGTTTAATGTTAAATGTCGCTCTGAGCAAGCTAGCAGATTCTTGCTTTGTGGCAGGAACATGAGTGAGGTGATCTTCAGGTTTCTTACAGGTCCCTAATCCCATGATATTAATATGTTTCAGGATCACCACTCCTTGTTTTATAGCCCAGGGGTATGCTGAGGATTCTATCCAGTTCAGCAGCTTCTATGGAGTTTGAATGCTGCACCTTGGGCTTAAATTGCCTTATTTCCTGCTACTTCAGCTGTGACCTCGAGGTGGCACTAAAGGACTTAGCTATGAAATGTTGGAATTATACAGCACTAATTTAAAGGCGGTCAGAGGTGCAGGGTGGGAGTCATTCACCTTAAATTAAGAAAATGTCAGTGGGCAAGACTGTAATTTAAAGGGAGGAGAAGACTAGATAGGAGTACCCACTAATTAATGCTCTGGATGTAACATAATGTATAGCTCGCTTTTCGAAATGGCTTGTGTGCACACATGACATACAAGCAAGACCTGCCTACTTGTTGCAGTTGATTGCCAGATGTGTGCTCAGGTTCTGTTTCGCCCAAACACAATTTGGTGAATGTCTTTTAGGTTCCTAACTCTCCGCACTCCTATGTACCACTTGAAAATTGCTCTGGGTCTTAGTGGACCACTTAATGATTTTTTTAAAATATATTTTTGCCATGTTGTAGCAATTGTAAAGCAGTACGCTAGATTTTTCATTTTTTTCTTTTCTTTTTAATTTTTATTTCTTATGTTGTATTTTATTGTATTATAATAATTCTACAGACCAAACTGCGGGAGGCAGTGGAAGACAGAAGTGCCTGGCGTGCTCTGGTCCATGGGGTCACGAAGAGTCGGACACGACTAAATGATTAAACAACAACAACAATTCTACAGAATAGAATAAAATGCAACACAATCAAATATAATATAAGAAAGAAAAGAAGTGATTGAAATACAATAACATATTAATATGAATATTTAATGTGATGGACTTGCCATCTCCTATCCTTAACCACAAATCCACAGACATGCTGCAGACCACCGATGGTCCACAGACCAGAGCCTGGAAACCCCTGAAATAGAGAATAGCTGAAGATGGCACCATGCACACACACCGTTAACAAAGCTTTTTGATCCTGTTTGTACTGCCTAGGATCTGCCAGATGTGGGGCAATTTCTGCTCCTTGCCCTGTGCAGCTAACAGCATTGGATGCATAAACAGTCAGACAGACAGATGGGGCTATCCAGGAAGCCCAACTTCTGCTGGCCCAAAACAGTTAGGGTGCAGTCTGAGACAGTGGCAGACAATGCTGCCATAGTACCAGAGGCAAGCTGAGCAACAACTGGGGCAAGTTGAGGTGGGGACGGGCCAGAATCTGTGGTGGAGCACAGCAAGCGCAGACACAAACATACACCTCAGTGCAGATGCTTCAAATTGACAGTTCATGAGAACAAGTAAGGTCTTCAACAAAATGTTGTAACGTGGAGCTCTCTTGTTCAGTATCCTACCCAACCATTCATGTCCTCTTCCTGGGATGGGAGAATATGTGTCTATTTCAACTACACATACTTTGGCTTAGGGGTACTGGGGACTTGACCAGGGTGGCAGTGATCCAAAGGCTCCCAGAGTAGGTATAAGATGTCTTATGCATTACTTGTCACAAGACCAGTGACTTCACACACCTGTGTGGTTTGAATGCTAGAGAAATGTATGAAACACATCACTTGAAAAGGGAGGTAAAAGGCCGACATTTCTTACCAAATGCTAAGAAAAGAATGCCTAGAACAGCATCATTCTTGATGTGTGGTGGAACTAAACATAGGTTAATTATCTCCATAATTTCTGTTGCAATTTGTAGAACACATTTTCCTTTAGCTGTCTAGACATTGCATTAGTGCTATACATTACCATTCTGCAGGTGCCAAACACTGCTAATTTATCATTAAGCAATTCAGTATTTGTCAATAGTGTTTACAACTGCAGAATACTCAGCAAATTCAGTAGGTGGCATTCAGTGATTTATCCAAAAGAGGGATTTTCTATTGCCTTGAAAGGGAGGTACAAATATGACAAAAGGAAGCTTTCTGTATTGACTAAGTTTCTATCCTCCTCCACATCCATTTCTACAGATAAGCCAAGCTGCAACCTTATGGACACTTAGTAAAGGTAAGGGGACCCCTGACCATTAGGTCCACTCGTGACCGACTCTGGGGTTGCGGCGCTCATCTCGCTTTATTGGCCGAGGGAGCTGGCGTACAGCTTCTGGGTCATGTGGCCAGCATGACTAAGCTGCTTCTGGCGAACCAGAGCAGCGCATGGAAACGCCATTTACTTTCCCGCTGGAGCGGTACCTATTTATCTACTTGCACTTTGATGTGCTTTCGAACTGCTAGGTGGGCAGGAGCAGGGACTGAGCAACGGGAGCTCACCCCATCGCGGGGATTCGAACCACCGACCTTCTGATCGGCAAGTCCTAGGCTCTGTGGTTTAACCCACAGTGCACTTACCAGGGAGTAAATCCCTTTGAGCTCACTTCTGGAAGAAAAAAATCTGTATAACTAAGCTGTGAGCATTTGTTCACTTTGGTCTGCAGGTGGACCCAGATCTCTGGGCTCAGGGGTTTAATTGGACTTATTTGTAGGAATGGAAAGTTTCCTTCTGTCCTGTGAGTTACCACATATTACCAGCTCAATTCAGTTTACATTTAAAGGCAAAACTAATTTGGCACTTTCTAAAGCAGTATACAAACTGAGATGTAGCCACCCTTCAAAATTCAAATTTTCCCTTATTCTCAAGCTAAGTAATGTGTACAAATATGCAAATACCAAGATAAAACTTTGCATCACAATTCACAGATTAATGAAAATAAATGTACAAAAAATGTTTTGTGTTAGGGGAAATATGCCAAAATGTGCAGGCTAGGCAAAATTGCATGCAAAAATGTGTTTATTAGGAGAAAAGTGCACTAAAATGCTGGTGAATTTTCATGAGGACTTTTAAAAAAGAAATTGCAAGCTGGTGTGGAAATGTGGAGAACTGACCTTCAAACTGGAAAAATGAGAAACAGAAATTGAAATATGTACCTGCCCCTATACCAGTTTGTGGTGGTTTCATAAGAAGCACAAAAATATACTCATACATATGAGTCCAAGAAGGAATCCGCTGCCCATTCTTTGCAGAATGGGCAAAAAAGCACTGTAATAGAGAAAGAAAAGGAAAGAAGATGAACTTCCTTGCCAGCACTTAAAAGTGGAAAATTCAGCATAAGCTGATTTGTAATTCATGTAATGACCTTTCATACACTGCAGTTGTATGACATTTTCTCTCAAAGCAGTTTTTATACTCTGTGTATGTAGGAATGAGAAAGAAGCGGGGAGCTGGGGAAGAAAATGCAAGCTATCCCTTTGGATGAATAGGGGACACAATAGCTCACAAGTGTAATGCAGGATGTAAACAAGTCCCAAGAACTAGCCTGATGCCGGATACAGGAGAACATTACAGCGGCTCTTATAGAGCTTATTTATAAAATGGCACGTGGGAAGACAACTTACCGCAACTCTTTTACAAGAATTGGTTCTCGGCCCATCATTATCTGACGACATCCTGGCTTCATCACATTTAGATGCCCATGCTACTACTGTTTAGGGTAGTTTGCAGCAGCATGCAGTCTTCTCCAAACCAATGCATGATGGTGCCTTCATATGATTTCTGCAATACAAACCAGCCATGAGCAGCCTCATCTATGTGGGTCAGAAAAGAGAGACTATGTGACACTTGGGAAGGTACTGTGTAGTTCTGGGGGCCAACGTTTCCAGGTGATGGGGGAAATATTCTGTCTGAGATGTTGGCAAGCAGCAGCCAGGCAGAGTTGACAATAAACTGACCTGGTATAAGGCACCTCCTCCTTCTTCTTTTCCATTTGCCAGTGTGGTGTAGTGGTTAAGAGTGGTAGACTTGTAATCTGGTGAACAGGGTTCGCGTCTCCACTCCTCCACATTCAGCTGCTGGGTGACCTTGGGCTAGTCACACTTCTCTGAAGTCTCTCAGCCCCACTCACCTCACAGAGTGTTTGTTGTGGGGGAGGAAGGGAAAGGAGAATGTTAGCTGCTTTGAGACTCTTTCGGGTAGTGATAAAGCGGGATATCAAATCCAAACTCCTCTTCTTCTATGATTTTAAAACTCTCCACGTGGAGCTTTCCCATAGAGAAATCTACATGAAAGTAGCCACCCCCTTGACCCATTGTTATGTATTTTTAGCCACCACTTCCCAGGGATTCACTTGGGACATGATGTCCCTTTCTTTTCAATCCATAACATTCATATGGATTATGGACAGGAAGCAGTGACTGTCAGTGTGTCATGCTGAGCCAAGCATTACTTCCTCTACACCAGAGATGGGGAGCCTGTGACCCTCTAGATCTTGTCGGACTACAACTCCCATCATCCCTGCCCATCAGCCATGGTGGCTACAGCCAATGGGCACTGGAGTACAACAGCAGCTGGAGGGTCACAAGTTCCCTATCCGTACTCTATATCCTTGGATGCATTCATGGAAATGTACCATGGAGGCCGTTCTGGAGTGTCTTAACCAGGCTCTGCAGTAAGGCTAATGCTGGAGTGTGGCAACATCTGGACAAACTGGAGGATGGTGAAATTTGGGCGAGTTGGTGCTTTTTCTCTTTGCCTTTTCATCGCTTGCCATCCATATGTGACTGCTACCCAGCCTGACTTTCTATTTGTCTTTGTATCTCCTCCCTGATACTGTTCCTCCCTCACCCTGTCTCCTTTTTTCTTTACAGAGTACACATGGCTTCACCCCCACTCTAAAATCCTCATTGTTCTTCCAAATTAAATCAATTACCCTATGCTTTACAGGCAGAAGAACTGATCAGGGATTGAAAGCCCAGGACAAGAGGAGAAAAATGTAATCAAGAGCCATTGCTTCTAAGCGTGAGAGCAAAGTATTTACTTAGAAAATATATACAGATCACGTACGCAGAAAAATCTCTAAGTGGTGCACATAATAAAATTATCAAAAAAGATAAAAGTCAGCAACACCTTTTAAAAAAAGAGTGTACATAAAATAATTATCAGTAAAGCACAATATAAAACCAGCTAAAACTTCGTTACTAAATTATATGACTAGGAAGACTTGATGAAACAAAGTTTTCAGCAGGTGTTTAATGTGGCAAGGACTGTGAATAGGCAGGGGCAATCTCTCAAGTAAACTGGTCCCAGGCTGTTAACAGGCTTGGAGGGGTTGTCTATAGTTTGGGGATTTCAGTGAATAACTTTCTTTTTTAGCTTTACAAATGACAGTGACAGTCCTAATCACGGAGGGTAGTCTGTTCTCAGCTAGAAAACATATGTATAGAATTGTTCATTATCTGCAAAGCAAGAAAATGAACAATATGCAAGGAAAACACAATATAAATGTAAATAAACATCCATAATTCTTTCTTTCTTTTAATGGAGTGAAAGCAATTCTCTATTGAAGTATTTTTAAATCTCTTTTTCAACACAAGCTTTTTCTGCCTCTTAGCAGGGAATTGCTTCCACACGCCCACACACCTCCTCCAAACACTCAACCCCAAAAGTACAATAAAAGTACGATAAAAATGTTTTAGTCCTAGACATGTTGTGGTCCTACTGGAAGTTGCTTCTAAATTGCCACTTCTCTTTGCCATTTTTCTCTTACTGTGGCTTCTCTTAAGGGAACACCTCAGAATAATTCTATCATAACATTTTTTTCCACAGGGAAATTGCCACTCTTCAGTCATTGCAAGACTAATGTTAGGAAAAGGGACAATGCGGACCTGTGATATGGATGAAGAGCAGGCATCTACATTCCACTGGTTCCAGTGGAAACTTGCATAGATTCAGTGGGAAACCTTTGACATGTTTTGTGTCAGTTACTCAAATGCACCCTTTTCAGTGAAATGTTGTTGAAATAGCTATGTCGATTAGGACAAATAAATGCATGTGATAATGAAATAATATTAGTACTGTAGTTGTAATAGTACCCACCCTTCACCAGCAGGTCCCTGGCTGGGTTACAATTTAAAATTCTGTATTAAAAACAAGTTGACCCTGAATGGGATGGGACTCACTGGCGCAAAATTCCACCACATCTTCTTCTGTTTTTGTCTGCCCATGGCAGCCATTTTGTGCTGGCACTCACAACACTTGTAGCAAGGTATGATTACTGGCACCTCAAAATTTTTTTTACTAAAAAAAGAAGAGAGCACAGGATATATTTGTTAGTTAACTATATTTCCTCAAATTTTCCAGCACCTTTTAAAATTTGAAGCAAGACTTCAATTTACATTTTGAAAAAGAATCAAGATACAGCTTTTGGGCTGTGTCCAGACTGAGTCATACCTGGAGTAGGTGCATTGAAATCAAGTTAGATCCAACCCAGTGGTTTCTTTTATTTTCATTTTCCCAGCAAGATGCAGCATGTGCTCTTTTTATTAGGGGGAAAACACGCAGTCGTTATATATTCAGTTCTTGTGGTTTCTTCAGACAAACGCAGAATAGGGATGGAATGTATGAAACAGTAAGCCATCATAATTTATTGCTTCAATGATGCCCTCTAACAGAAATGAGGACTGCCTGGTTAAAATCAGTAAGGCCCACTGGACACAGTAGAGCAGGCATAGGCAAACTCGGCCCTCCAGATGTTTTGGGAATACAACTCCCATCATCCCTAGCTAACAGGACCACTGGCCAGCGATGATGGGAATTGTAGTCTCAAAACACCTGGAGGGACTTGTTTGCCTATGCCTGCAGTAGAGCTTACTACTGCATAAATATGCCAAGGAGTGCTCTGCAAGGCTTTAGTCCTATGCCCTTGCATGGGAGTAAGCCCTATTGAACACAGTAGGATTTACTTCTGGGTAAACATGCAGAGGATTGCACCATAACCGAGCGCAACCTTGGCTTGGAGTTCCACGTATTCACTGATGTTCCACATACTTCACCAAATGTTTTCTCTCTCTCTTCTGCAGTAATTCCTCCCATTCCTTTTTGTTTTTTTTGCTTCCTTTCCTTGGACTTCAGGTAAAGAAGCATCTTGTACTGATACAAATTATATGTACTCTGATCCTTAATAATTGCTTTCCTTCTAATTCAATTGCTGCTGTGACCATTTCATCCAGTCAGATAAAGTGAACTGTAGCCATTGATTTTTGCAAAGCCTCCAAAAATGTTGCACTTATCATAATGATTATCCCAAATGTAGATTCCTCTGCCGCTCCCAGTAAGAGAATAAATCCTATGAGTTTACTGTCAGTGTTCTCTAGACTCATTATTTTGTAAACTCTGTAATTCGTAGTGATCAGCATACTTCCCAATGGCTGTAAAATTAAGAGCCAATGTTACTACGACAGAGGCAAACCTGTTTAGTTTGACCCTGGTCTGCCTCAACCATGTAAACAAGAACTATGGCGCATGTCCACGTTTCAGTGCAACCTTCCCTAACCTGGTGCCTTCCAGAGATTGTCAGACTACAACCTCCATCCTCCCTGACCATTAGTCATGCAGATTGGGGATGATGGGAGCTGGAGTAAAGTGATATTTACAGAACCCTAGAGGAGTGTTTAAAAAGTGATTTCTCCCCCACAACTGCAGTCCGAAGTGGTGCATCCTATTCTCTCATTGCAGAATTCCACCACTGTTTCCCCACCTCATTCTGCTGCATGTAGGACCAGGCCTTGGTCATTGTGGGTGTATCCATCTGGTGTCCCTTAACTGATGGAAGGTGTCCATCAGTTGAACAGGAAGAAAGGCCATTTTTGGTGACTCCTGCCCACCCCCACCCCAGATACCCTCTGCTTTAGAGGATCCCCCAGCACTCTGGAGAAGATTTGGATGCTGGGGGACTGCAAGAAGGAAAGACAATCTCAAAAAATTGCCCCCCTTCTCATTTTGCTGACTGATGCCTTCCGCCAGCAGAGAAATACCAATTGAGTACCTGGCATCCATATATATTCCATTATTAAGGACAATAGGAAATGTTGTTGTAATATTTCTACTTTTACCTCACTATTTTCTCCCCTCAACATGAGTCAGATTTCTTCTAGGATACTGGTTTCAAACTGGGTTCTGGAAAGCCCAGAAACATTTTCCTCAGAAGCTTATTACCAGTGAGATGGTTGGCATATGTGTTTTCTTGAAATACAATTTGCATCCTATTGCTGGTCTTCCCCTCCAGGAACAGGGAAAGCAGCAACATAGGAAACTGCCTTATACTAAGTCAGACTGTTGGTCCATCTAGCTCAGTACTACTGACACAGACTGGCAGTCTCTCTCCAGTGTTTCACATACGAGTCTTCCCCAATCCCTGGAGATGTTGGGGATAGAGTCTAAAGTTCATCCTCACAGTGAGGCCCAACAGGCCCAGTCAACATCCCACACCCTGCATAAGCAGGAGTTTCATGACTGTCAGGCTTGTTGGTGTTCCCTAGAAGTGTTCCCTAAAGCTACAAAATCTGAAATATGAATGGTTTCTAATAGCCGTAAGTGAAGACATTAGAGGTCTACTGTAGGATACCTACAGTTAATGTTTCCATGTAACCTTCGCTGTCTTGATTTTGTTGATGAGTAGTCTTCACTTTCAGAAAGAATGAACACTATTTCAGAGTGATGCGATAAGTGCAGCAGTTCTTGTTTCAATGAAGAAATCCACTCAGTTTCCATTCTTTCTTTCTTTTTTTAAAAAATGAATTGTCGTGAATTTGCAGTCTGAATAAAAAGTTAAGGCTGCAATAATTCTGCACACAGAGAGCACAGGAACTTCAGACAAAGCACTCCTAAATTAGGCTAATATATGTGTTTCGTTCCAAGGGAGCCAAGCAATAAAATCCTTGAAGCAACCATTACCATAAGGTAATTGACTGTATCTGCAAGTTAAACGTTCCAAGAAAGAGAC